GGAAGAAAAGTTACCATCCTAGGCCTGGTCTAAGCCAATATGTCCTGTACTAAATACTTGAGTTGAGAACTGACATCACAGTAACCCACCTTCAACAGCTGGAGCAGAGTATACCACTGGTAGCAGTAGCAGTCTGATTGTATATCCGTCTTGCCTTTTCTTTGAGTGTCAAGTGTTGGCCAGATCCCCTGTTCACTTCTAGCTGAAACATTTTATTCAGACCGGGATGATTTATTTGTGCTTCTGTACTTTTCACTTGCTCCCATAGGGCCCTGATCTCATCTAGCTTGTCATGAATCAGTTTACCACCAGGTGATGAGCAGAACCAGCCAGTCTGTCTTCTGTTTATTTACTAATGCACCTTAATGTCCGGCTGAAAAATATGCAAAGTACACAAACGGTCTGGGATCTCTGAAGCGATGCTTGCCACTCTCCATGGAACATACCTGCCTCTGCCTTTCTTAACACTGAGCTAAATAATAATCTTGTTACATCCTAGTATGCCTTTTTACAGATGGGACATTACAATAATATCCTCTGTTTGTGAACTTGGTGAAGGGAAGGCAAGCTCTGCAGATGACTCTTTTTCATCTTCTTTGTCTTCTTCTTCTCCTGCCGTTATACACCATTGGAACATGCCATTAACCATATCATGCCAGACCATCTTTTCCTTTGCCTGATTGATCAGTTCACTAACTACATGTTTTCCCTGTTTTATTCATATGTGTTTCTAATTCTCTTATTAGTTTCATAGCAACTAATTACAATGGAAGTGGTCACCGGGAAGCCAGATTTCCGGTGTATATACTTGGCCAATTGTAAACTATGCAAGATAACATGATACAATGGTTAGAGTGCATAGGAAGAGTCAACCACACATTGATATTTGGTTACTGATTAAAGAATCAACACCAGAGCATATTGGGCATTCCCATAGATGCTTTATCTTCAGCAGCAAATACCTTTAGGTGTAGATGCTGACTGTTCCAGTTGCACACTGGTTGTCCACATGCTGTCCACTCTAATATGTCCTCTCTTGATGGATTCACATTTAATTCCAAATTCACAAAACCTTATATGGGTTATTTCATCTGACAATGTGTGTTGCATCAACTTTCATTCATAAATGGTCTTCAGAATGTCTCCCTTGTTCAGTATAAGTGTTCCTGTAACTATCTCTTTTACAGCCAAAAAATCTGATTTTTCATTCCCTTGCTACCACACATTGCATTCTGAAAGAATTTTTAAGTTACAGATTTGACGTCGTTATACATATTGACCAATTACCAGTTAATGACTTTTCTTGTATAGTGGAACCTTTAGCCACACATTTAATCCATTCCATGACTAAACTCTGGTGATTAACATGTATCCTGAAAATAATTGTCCCCATTAATTTAATGTAAATAATTTCCATTCATTCCAGCTCTGCAAAAATAACCCTGTTAGTTTCTTTTTAACTGGTTTTATTATATTAACTGCTTACAATAATAAATGTTTAAAAACAAAGTAAAGAAACAAAATGTAAGTAAATAAACACATAATTTACATAAAGAGACATACAAAAACCTAATTTGGAGGTCAGTCAGCAATGGCTAGAGAGATGTAGGATAAGGAAATCTGGAATTACTTGTGATTTAAGTCTCTCCCCCCCCCCCCCCCCCCAATGTTAACGTGACCTAATCTACTTAAAAGTAATTGAAATGCTGTCGGGTAACGCTGAGAGTTGTCATCTCTCCTCCTCACATCATGGATTTCGCCCAGTATTCTGGGGTCAAACAAATAATTGCGAGCCTGACCTCATATTCTGGAAAAAACTCTTATCCAGGCACACTTGTATCCTGGGGTGCCATGGTATTTTAATTCTTTTTTGAGAGGCTAGTGTGGGGCAGCATCATCATTTGTGACTCAACTGAGCTTCGGTTCATATTACTATAATTATTTGTTACCCAGTTGTCTAAGCTTTAACATATCTCTTTCTTTGTCTTCTGGTGTGTCTATTGCCTAGAATTTCGACACATAAATTTTGACACATATAACTAATGTCTTTAATCCATATTTTCTGTTGATGAGGTATTACAATAATAACTAAAAGGGTTGAATATTTCAGAGGAAGTCTGTTCAGCGTAATCCGTATTACATGGATAGTCTAAAGGTCGCTGTTGAGGTAAGCTGTCTCATTCTATTTTATTTTTGAATGTAATCATTCATAGTCCGTAGATTCACACTAAAGTAGGTGTATTATGTATAAAAAAAATGTGGAACAAAACAAATCTAGAATAGAACATATGTAGAACTGAATAAATATCTTCTTCCTCTGTTTTCACATTTAAAATGTGGATTGGCATGTTGTGTTGTGGTTTACAAACTGGGATGCAATATTTGTACCTTTTGACCCCACAGCCGACTCTTCATTAGTTGCTTTTTCTTACATGTTTATTAAATTCCGTTGGGTCTCTACTTTTTGCCACACGATTGAATCCAGAACATAGGTGGAGAACTGAAAAAGTCTAAAAGTAAACATCTATAGAGAGAGAAGAAGAGAAATAGGACATTACATCTATTGCACAGCAATTATAGAACATAACAGATGACAGAATAAATATAGAACAGAGAACAATAAGTATAAAACAGAGAAGAATAAATATAGAACAGACAAGAATAAATACAGAACAGACAAGAATAAATACAGAACATACAAGAATAAACATAGAACAGAATAATAAATATAGAACAGAAAATAGTAAATATAGAACAGAAATAAATAAATATATAACAGAATAATAAATATAGAACAGAATAATAAATAGAATAGAGAAAAATAACTATAGAACAGTGAAAAATAAATATAGAATAAATATAGAACAGTGAAGAATAAGTAAAGAACAAAAAAGAATAAATATAGAAAAGTTAATAATAAATATTGAACAGTGAATAATAAATATAGAACAGTAAAAAATAAATATGGCATAGAATAATTTTTAAAATACCAGTAAAAAATAAACATAGAACAGACAAGAATAAATATAGAACAGACAAAAAAAACTATAGAACAGAATAATAGATATAGAACATCATCATCATCATGTGCCCTGCCAACTGGCGTAGGCGCTCATGCGTCTGCACAGATTACGATCCCTGGTTGCCTGGAACAGCTGTCACTATAGAACAGTGTATAATAAATATATAACAGAGAATAATAAATATAGAACAGAGAATAATAAATATAGAACAGAGAATAATAAATATAGAACAGAGAATTATAAATTTAGAACAGAGAATAATAAATATAGAATGGAGAGGAATAAATATAGAACAGTAAATAAAAACATTGAACAGTGAATAATAAATATAGAACAGTAAATAAAAACATTGAACAGTGAATAATAAATATATAACAGAAGAATAAATATAGAACATACAAAAATATAGAACAGAATAATAAATATAGAACAGTGAATAATAAATAGAGAAGAATGAAATGTAGGAGAGCAAATGTGAAGCGCAATTAATATCGCTATGGCTAAAGTGTCTGATATAGATGTCACAAATTATAAAGAAGCGTTTTATAAATCTGGAGAAATTGTAATGACTGATTTAAAAAAAATCATTGTCTTAAACATCTCAGAGTTTGTCTGTCTTAACAAGATTAAAATTAAGTCTTTTCTTATGTTCCATAACTGTGTCATTTGGTTTGCAGGAGTACTTTGTGCCTCTATTAATAATAAATAAGCCTTTCAATGCCCACTGTCTTCAACAATTCTTAGCCAAAACGAGTTCATTATTTAGTGCTGATATTTTCTTTGGCTGTTTCTTTACCGCTTACCTTCAGCTGTTCTCTCATGAATAATCTTTGACAGGGATTCATGGCAGGTGATTTGATTATAACAGACAGGCCTGTGACACTGTAGCAGCAGGATGGTAGGAGAATAATAATAATAGGAAAACTAGAAATTCCACTGGGAAGTTAAATCGGAAAAACAGATCAGAACTGAGAGGACGGACTTCATTGCACTGGCCTTTATCGTCTCCAGCTTTAACCTGTTGAGCGCAGTGTACAAAGCACAAACTCTGTAGCTCTGATGACAGTCCTAAAGGGTATCTTAAGCAAACTAATACTTTTATGAGTCAAAGAATTTAGTACTTCTTTTTCACATTCATCGGCTGTAAACTCTGGCAAAAAGTTCTGATTGTTTGTCCACTTTATGAGCTTCAGAGCAGCAGGCAGACACACTGTCTGCTTCACCATGGAGACACACAAGAAAGAGATTTGGACCCCTCATTTCTGTAATGCTGTCAATTATCATATAACTTAAAAAGACATCTGTTGTTTTGATTGTGAAACTTTAACCCTGTTGTGCCACTCCCTCTCCCAAGCCACAAAATGGACACCATTGATTAGGTTCATTTCCCCGTAAATGTCACTTCAACTTGGCTATGGTGGCTTGTTTATAAGAACCATAGCTAACAGCAGAAATACCCCCACGCAAACTTTTAAGGGGACTGGAATAGATTATATTTACTAAAAGTATCATGGTGAGGGAGGGGGGGGGGGGGGGCATCATTATGATCAAACTATTTAAAAATAAAAATTGTGATGTCATAGTTTCTAATTACGACTACTGTTACCTGGCGAACTGGTTAGTAGGTAAAATATGAGTGTTGTAAACTTATTTTTAATGGTCATAGGGAGGGTAGTCAGTTAATACTCTGATGTAATCATGTTTATTTATAACTCCTCTTATTCTGTTATTTTTAACAGAAATTAATATTGTTTTGGTCCATAATTTGAATTGTTATAAGATTTTTTGGAGTAACCTGTGTAAGGTGTTTAAAATTTTTTTTCTTTTTTCAGGCTTTTGTGGGGAATTGCTAAAACACAGATCATTAACATTTTGTTTTTTAAAGGTCACTGGGGCGAAAAGGTTAAGATGATAAAGTTTTGCATTTATGTAATTATGTTTGCTATTCTAGATAATTTTGTTTTTGCCATTTCTCAGACATATTTGATGAATGCAGTTCACAAACATTTATTCCGTGTGATCACCACCACGATGGCCGGACAGGACGCAGAGATCAACAAAATCACCAGAAATCTAGTTCACTTACAGTTTTCTGACCTGGGAATTCGCAAGATTTTCAGGTAGAAACATAAAACATTAGTTTCCTGGGTAGGTTGCTCTGTAACTTGACAGGAAAGATAGTGGCCATGGCCATTGAGTTAACCGTATGTGTCGATTCCTCCCCACCAAATATATGGTTGACACATTCCGTTTCTGGGGACAGCTTTTATCGAGTTTGCTCTCTAGACAGTTGCAGTCCCCTGCTGACAAGATTATGTCTTCCCGAATGGACCGCCGCGATCAAAACATTGCGAAGGCAGCGTGGTCGAGGCTGCCAAAACTATCAGTCATTATCCCGCCCTGACATAGCACAACCACAATACACGCTGCTCCCACGAAAAACACATAGTATCCTGCGTTGGAAATTCGCACAAAATAGCAGTTCATGATTATGAAACAGAATAATCCGTGAGAATTGACAGCCAGTGAAAATAAACACAGCTGCTATTCGCCATTTTGAAAACAAAAGTCGGTGAAGATAGTGATTAAGAGTAAACTTTCCAGACAATACAAATATATATATATATTTTCCCCCCAAATATTACTTGTATTTTATCAACAAAAAATAACCAGATCTAATAATGGTTCCACCAGTCAGGTATTTCTAGTGCCAGATTTTTGTTTTGGCATTTCTGATGGCTGTTAATGTATTTAATGCATGTATGTGCTATTGGCTTTGGGTGCTTTATTAATATCCTACCCCAGATGTCACAGGACAGTCCAACATTTCAGAGGGTGGTAAGACTGGGTTTCCCAGCTTTCTGATGCTTTTAACGACCCAAAAACATCTAGAACTGGCCCTAACATGAACCCACCTACGTCCCACGAGAGAGTGCAGCCTAGGTCTTACGACTACATGCAGTCTAGGTCCCACAACTGCATGCAGCCTATCTACCACCCCCTGAAATATTAGACTGTCCCATGACCTGTGGATTTCCCCTCTTTAGGGTAGGATATTAATAAAGCACCTGGCTTAGCAGAGACTGCAGTCTGTGTGAAGTTTCTCACAAGGGACAGTGATGGGCATTCTGTGTGGTTTTTGTTGGCACAGGAACGGAGCAACTATGGGGTGACCTGTTTGCTATGAGTTCGTACCTGGGATTACCCGATTAACCAGTCAGGTGTTATCTGCACAGCAACAGATAGCAACAAGGGATCTCCAGTACTCTTATCCTCACCTGATTATACACTGAGAGACTGCACAACAATTTGCTTGATATCATCTTCCAACTTGTATCGCTGTCTACCTTTTAATTTCCTGCCTTAAACTTTACTCTGTAGTATGATGTTTATAAGAGTTATTTCTTTTAATGTAGCCAGATGATTTCATCATGTCTCCTGCTTATTTCTTCCACCAGTTCTCTTATTATTCCAGCTTCTAAAAGACCTCATCATATTCTCTAACTTTTTAGTTAGAATGGAGTACAATGTATTGTTTGTGGGTTTATTAAAATTCACAAACCTTGTCAAAGTTCACAATAATGGTGAATATCTTAACGAATCCAGTTATTTAGCTGTCAGGTTCTCCTTCTTCTTCTTCTTCTTATGTCATCTCATTGATACCAGGTTGTGGCCCATTGTCATGGTTTTCTGAATTTGTATTGCGCTTCTTGGATGGCTTGGTTGATGGATTTATTCATCTTTTTGCAAGTTTCAGCTGCACCATTTACCCTTCTCTGTTTTGGGACTTCTGCTTGCCTTCCTCCCAGAGTTCTGCTGTAAAAAAAATCTTGTATGTAGGTTGGTCTGGCTCTGTTCTCACTAGATGGTCTTATCCAGCTTTCTCTCTTATGCTGGTATTTGTAACCCTGTCCAATCTTGTTTTGTTAGTGTCGTTACCAAAATAGCACATTTCACATGTAGTTATTTTCTGTTGTAGTCTATGCTTGGCACTGATAGCATAAAGTAGAGATAAAGATGCTATAAATCATTAGCTGTTTTGCTAGAAGGGAGATATTTGTGTGTTTAAGCAATGTGGCTAACTGATCTTGTTGTCCTGTAGCTTTGCCAGTCTGATATCTGCAAGTCTGTCCAGCTTTCAGATTACGTTCCATATTTACTTTATTTGTAATGTATAAGTAATTTATTGAAGTTGCAAATGTCAGAAATATTCTACAGAAATCTCTTTATCTTCACTAGTCAAAACATCCCTGCTGCCAAGAAAGAGCTGAACTTGCTAAACCGGTACAGCACTCCAGTGGGAAGATTATTTTGTTTAAAGAGAGTAGTTGCAACATTAACCAAGCCACCAAAATCTTTGATCAAGGAGAATTCTAAAGGTCAGTTTATTGTACTTTGCTGCTAAAAAGTCTTGGATTTACTTTATTGGTTTGAACTGTCAGAAACAAATACTTTCTTTACAGCAAATTCTAATAGCAAAATTTAAGCGTGTACTTCCTGTTTTTTGTTAATGCATAATTTTTGATGATGTATACAAAATCTTGACATCCCTCATTGTGCCAATGGCTTTGGGCAGACAAATGCACTGGGAAGAACACTAGCCTTATCATAGGAAGAGAAAATGCAACCTGAAAACTTTGTCTCCAAGAACCCGACAAACAAAACTCTGCTCTTCTGATCTAGCAGTTTTGGCAGCATGCTTTGTTCCACACTGGTGTTACCTTTCCTTTTTAGTAAACAAGGTAGGCAGAGTGAGGGATCATTCTACATGGACAACACCTGGTCCTTACAATACTGAGCAGGATTTCTGCTATGGAGAGGAAGAAACTTTATCCCTGACCTTAATTGAGAAGCACTACAATATATAACACTATCAACAACAACAATTTGAGTCTATCAAAACAGGGGTTTGGGTTCAATCTCCCGAACAACAGGATTTTTGTTCTCAACCAATACGGCTCTGAGGTTGACTCAGTCTCATAAATAATGGGTATGAGACAATTTTTCTACTTTACTGGGAATGGAATTAACCACCCTATGGCATATCATATAGCCCAGAATATGTGAAGGCCCAACACTTTCCAATAAAATGGTAGTGTGTGCTGTGGGACTACCCGTGCAGTGCATTCTATGGCGGGTGGCTGTTCATATTCAGAATGGCCGTTTATATTCAGAATGGCCGTTTATATTCAGAATGGCCATTTATTTTCACAATGGCTGTTTATATTCAGAATGGCCTAAACTTTCGCGGGTGCAATGCCGGCTTTCATGATTGACCTTTTGCGCCAACTGTGAGCTGCGATTCTGGTGTGGGGCCGTTAGTGTTATAACATCTGACAGCTGTTTAATTCATTTTAACTTTGCATGTGCACGCTTTATAATTTTGCTGGAACTGACAAATCTTTTCGCTAGTTTTCAAATGGGACAGTGAAGAATATTTTGTGTTGATTCCGCTGGCACAGGTAAGTAAAGGACCCTTTTCGACACCTACAGAAATGCAGCAGTTATGAAGAAGACCCGCCTACAATGATGTTGGAACCTCTAGCAACAACTTTACAGCACATTCTAATATTGCTGTCTTATAGCATCTTCATGGGCAGCAGAACTATATCCTTTCAGTCTGCATATGGGGTAAATACAACAGCTAACTATTGTCAGAAGTAAAAACTTGCCATGACTAAAAACAGTAAACCTGCCTATCTGCCCTTCTGATTGGTCTATTTTTTGAAATGTTGGCTTGCCTTTTCTTGAATTCCTAATATTATTTATTTCAGAAACTGTGACCATGATGACAACTGATGACCTTCTGCCAATTTTGATTTTTCTTATCATCAAGTCTGAGATCCCTAACTGGTATAAAATGACTGATAAATAGTGTATTTAAAGACTAATGGAGTGATTAATTGTATATAAATGGACTGATAAATAGTGTATTTATAGACTAATGGAGTGATTAATTGTATATAAATGGACTGATAAATAGTGTATTTATAGACTAATGGAGTGATTAATTGTATATAAATGGACTGATAAATAGTGTATTTATAGACTGATGGAGTGATTAATTGCACATAAATGGACTGATAAATAGTGTATTTATAGACTGATGGAGTGATTAATTGTATCTATATGGACTGATAAATAGTGTATTTATAGACTAATGGAGTGATTAATTGTAAATAAATGGACTGATAAATAGTGTATTTATAGACTAACGGAGTTATTAATTGTATAGTGTATTTATAGACTAATGGAGTAATAAATTGTATATAAGCTGGCTGATAGATTCAGGAAATATTTATTAATTTCAATCAGTATAATCTAGAATTTCATAAACATTAATTTTTATTTTTGTTATGAGTTGCCAATTGCTTGGAAGAGCTCAGGAGGGCTGGGAGATGAAAAGGCTGACATCTGTTAGGGTGAAGATCTCCGTCTTCTTCTTCTTCTTCTTAGCTTTCACCGGCTGTAAACTGTAAACTCCAGCAGAAAGTTCTGTTTGTTCATCCACTTCTGGACTGCAATCTCACTCCAGAACTTTAGTTTCACCTGCACATCTATTTTACAGATCTAGCTCATTTGTATGCAGACTGTTGGTTTTTCACTCCTTGGGTGATGTCAGGGTTCGCCCTGTTATGGGACAGTTCAGTATGATGATGATTAATCTCGTCATCGTACCCTGCGACCCTCAGTGCAACTCAGTACGTGTATACACACGTATATACGAGCATGAACGTATGAGCAAAGCGTAGCTGGGTCGAGGACAAACGGACTTCACGAAGGTTGACCAACCACGGCGTGAACTCGGTAACGGAGAACAAAACGGGCGTGCAGGCTAGACTGGGGACATTCTGGACCGGATGCTTGATGCGTGCTTGTGTGACTGCTGTGTAGCTTGATGTGGGACGAGAGTTTAGATTGTTAGATTTAGTGACCGTTCGTTTTGACTTGTAGAAATGTTCCAGTGTAGTTATTAGCTGTAACACGTTCTGTTTGTAGTGTCATTAATTATATTTAATTCGTTACAGAGTAGATAGCATGGGGTCTAGTTAGATCTCAGTTAATACACAATTTAAGGTAGTAGCTAGATCGTGTCAGTAGTTGTAACTATAATCCAGACCAGGCATTGTTGATGGCGGCAGCACTGTCGACGCACTTAGGCCTACACATGTGCCATAGCGTCTTTGGCATCGGGAGACAGCGGGTTGAGCTGGCTCTGTACAGGAGAGTGGCAGCGGCTCAGAGCTTATATCATGAACGTGTAAAGGCGCCTCTAAGCGATTTTAAAGTTAGACACGGCCTGGTTTCAGAATAAGGAGCGCTACCCCTCCTGAGTGTACCACTACTTCGTTTGTATCCTTGATAATAAAGATTGTGTGTGTGTGTGTGTTGCAACCAGTGTTTGACTTGAGTGTGTTTCTCAACAGTGTTTTCCTGTCATAAGCCTATCTATAGCAGAGCCAATGGAATCGAACCCTAGACAATTAGGTTTCTGACAGGAAAGGGCACTGATGTCTAAGAAAACAACACTAATGGGGCAGTGGGTGCATTCTTTTTTCCACCACAATGGGGCCCCAGAACCTGCATTGGAATATAAGGCTGAAAATGAAATAGACACCTTCCTCTTGATTTAGTTTTCTTTCTCCATGAGATTGTTTTGCATAGTTTTCCTACCTCTGGGAATATTTGGCTGAAAATGAAATAGACACCTTCCTCTTGATTTGGTTTTCTTTCTCCATGAGATTGTTTTGCATAGTTTTCCTACCTCTGGGAATATTTGGCTGAAAATGAAATAGACACCTTCCTCTTGATTTGGTTTTCTTTCTCCATGAGATTGTTTTGCATAGTTTTCCTACCTCTGGGAATATTTGACTGAAAATGAAATAGACACCTTCCTCTTGATTTGGTTTTCTGTCTTCCTGAGATTGTTTTGCATAGTTTTCATCCCTCTGGGAATATTTAGCTGAAAATGAAATAGACACCTTTCTCTTGATCTATTTCTTTCTCCATGGGATTCTTTCCTCCTTCTCTCCCCACCCCTTCCAAGCCCAGGAATGTGCAGGATTTGCAGGATCAGTACTTGAGCTTCATATCTTTTGAAAGGCCTGATCCTTGGAATGTTATTTGTACTAGGAGCATGGAATAAATGAACCATTGAGAATTTCTTTTAGGTCTTGTCCAAAATAAATCCTAGTTCTGTGACTCGTGTAGCCTGTATGAGTTCTACACTGACCAATATCATCATTATTAGGAAGTCCTTTGCAGAACATCACTGCTATCACAGCCACTGGAAAACCTTTTCTTCTTCCCTTGCCAATTACACTGCTCAGTTTTCTTCTTCATACTCAAGGTCTCTACAGTATCCTGCTTTTGTGCTTGTCAACCGGGCTCTCATTGAGAAGTTAGTTACATGCTGAACATTCATTTAAAGAAGAGTGATGAAAGCACAAGCCTGATAGACAAGAGTTTTGTTTTAATTGAGCACTTTCTGTTCTCCCAAACTCTTTTTTCTCAATCTGTTAATTGTTGTTGCTGCCTCACCTATCCTGATGTTGATTTTTGGCCCAGTGATTGTTTGTTATTAACCGCAGATCCCAGATAGTAATATCCCCTATAGTAATGTACTTGAAGAGATAACGGGTAATATGCCAGGCAATAAATTGTGAAATATTGTTTGCGACCTCATTCAAAATCATGGGTTTATTTTCAGGATGGCTAACCTTGTCTTCATGCGCCACTTCCACTTTGCAAAGTCTTCTGATGATGATGAATTTGGGTAATTTATTTTGTGAATGTGTATGTTAATGAACATAGTGATCTTTAACCCTGGATTTTTGTCTTGCTTTGTGTATTATAAGATTATTGGTTTGGTTTCTGTCTGTGCCAGGTTTTTTTCAAAAATGGGGAGTAAAGGCAGCCGGCATAATGCTGACCACATCACCCACCGAGTGCCGATTGGTATATAAAATATAGGTCTAGCCCTATATTCTCAAAACGCCTGAAGGCGTGAAAAAAAAAGGTCCTTTATATATATATATATATTGCACATTACTACATTAGTATTCCCGTTTCAGTACACAATCTTCCCAAATATTTATTAATTATTCCTAATATATATATATATTTATTAAAACAATTTAGAAGTCGTCTGTGTAAAATAGTTGACTTTGAGGATTTTTTCAAGAAATGTCCATGGCTAAAGTTTACATTTTTATTTTTATTTTTTTTAATGAAAAAAAAATATTTTAAGCATTCATGGAGCAAAAGGGTTAAATCTGTATTAGACGTTTGAGAAGAAACCTCAGAAGGAAGCTGAAGACTGGCGGTAATGCATCTTTCTTCTCATATTCTTTATTTACAGTGTCCTTCTGTTTCAGATTTTACCTGGCATCGGTTGAGGCTGCCCTGGAACACATCAAAAGTGGGAACATTGGGGAGGATATCAAACCCTTAAAGGTATTTGTTGACATCATAGCAGTCTGTTTGGTAGTAAGAAATTTTAAATTTTTATGTGTGGAAATTTGTCACTGCATCATAAATCTAGCTTTATGATGGTTTATTTTTGGAAGCCAGATGTGATTGTTTTCCCTTGCTTTTCTACATCTATATAAGAAATTACCTTATTCATTTATTCAGTCAGGAGGCATGTTAGCCTGCTGGTCATTGACTGACTGAGGTGGATTAGATGAAATTGACCTGAGTTCTGAGGTTGACCCATCCTAGAATGGTTATTGGGAAAGGTCTTGAGGAGTAAAAACGTACTGTTTATCACCTTACCCATCTAGTTTTAATTGGTCTATACCAGTGTTTCTCAACCTTCTTACAGCTGCGGCCCATCAGAACAGGGGAAATTGTTTCACGACCCACCTGACAGCTAAACAAACAAAAACAAGAACAAATGTCAACAAACAGTTTAATTCCAGTGTCATAAAAATACAATTTTCAGCTAAAGCGACATCTGCTGCTGCTGCTTAGAGGTTTACAGAATCTAATATATGTGACTGGACAGTTGCTTCTGCTATAAGAAGCGCTACAATAACATCGATTTGATTTCTCATTTGAATTTTTATAATTCACATGTCTGAAAAAGATATCCAGGACTGGAAATGGCTCTGCATCACTTGATGGTGAAGTGATGTATGACAAGAAAGATATTGTGAGAGCCCTTTGGGAGCGAGTGAACAGTGCGGAGGCGCAGATAGATCATTATGGTCTAAGGAGAATGGCACTGCGAGGGGTTACCAGGGAAGATGGCTGATGCTCAGCACTCATGGGAAGGATGAGATGGATATACAATCAGACAGTTACTGGTACCATCGGAATTGGAACTCTTCACTTGCTGCTGGAGATGGGGACTGACCACTTGTAGGTGTGTCCCGAGTGCTGGTATGTCGATTCTTAATTCAAAATTCATCATTTAGAAAGTCTTTTCACTAAATTGGAAGTCTTTGAGGAGTTAATCCTACAGCCTGGAACAGAAGAAAAAAACATCTCTCAGGATGTGCCCAGTGTACCTAAGGCATGAAAAGAGTCCCTCGTCTTTTCTTATTCTCTTGAGGAGCCGTGGTGGCAAAGTGGCTAGCTTACTTGCCTGCAAGCTAAGTGGTTAATTGTTTACATCTCTGTTGAGTTGATTTGTTAAAATTGACATCTTTTATAGAACATTTTCATAACTAACTCCAGCATTTATTTTAGCTGTTTCCTCCTGAATGATCATCTTTCAATATCAATGTCAAAATCAACTCAGGGCGGTTTGCTGCCACATCATCTGCAGCTTGGATCGAACGCGGTACCTCAGAATTATGAAGCACATTCACACCTCAGCCACAGAACACCTTTATCTTATGAAATTATTTTCAACTGTTCATTTTTTTCTTGACCAGATTTTTTTTTCTTTTCAGAGGGAGCATTGGAACAGTTTTCTTGTAGTTGATTCTACGGATGGTCCGCCATCGCCATCATCATCTCAGTCTCCATCCAGGCAGCTGTCACATTCATCAATAGATGATTTCTTTAAGGTCAGCAGTTTCAGACTTGACCCGGGTTGTTTTGTTAAGCTTCAATTTCATTGTGTATGAATATTCCCATAAATCAAGGAGGTTCTCAGTAGGATATATAAACTCTATAAATTACATAAAGAGATTCTAAGCACAGTGCACGAACTCCATAGATCATACAAGATTCTCAGTGCAATGTATAAAGTATGTATCACATGAAGTTCACCGCACAGTGCTTGAAGTCCAGACATCACACAAGGACGTTCTTGGTACACTTCATGAAATATATATATATATATCACATAAGGTTCACTGCACAATACTTGAACTCTACATCACATAACCAGATTTTCAGTGCAGCGCACAAACTTCATAAATCATACAGGGTGCACAAACTCCATGGATCACACAAGAAAGATCTCGGTACAGTGCACAAACTCTGTAGGTCCAACAGTTGCACAGACTCTGTAGGTCTGACAGTTGCACAAACTCTGTAGGTCCAACAGTTGCACAAACTCTGTAGGTCTGACAGTTGCACAAACTCTGTAGGTCCAACAGTTGCACAAACTCTGTAGGTCCGACAGTTGCACCAAAGATGTAGATCATACAGTTGCACAAACTTCACAGATCACATGGCTTAATCAGGACAAGAATACTCCTCTGATATGAGACTAGTTATCCACTCACGTATATCAAAAGGTTGGTGATGATGATGACAAATTAGACTTCCACATCTCTGTTATCTCTGATAAATTGTTGTTTCTAATGATTCTTGTAGCAGCATGTGATTGTACCTCATGGACCATTTTGCAATCATTAAAGAGTTGGATTGAGGCTTTCTGAACTTCTGTTTTCCTGTAAAATGTGTAGAATACCGTGGACCACTTTCTTTGCGTTCACCAGCTGTAAACTCTGGTGGACAGTTCTGTTTGTTTGTTCACTTCTGAACTTTTCTCTTGTTCCAAAACTTGAGTTTCGCATGCATGTCCGTTTGATAGATCTGGCTTATTTTCATGTAAATTGCCCCCCCCCCTTCCACTAAATGGGGACCCAGAACACACGCAGGGAGAATACTGTGGATCAAGATGAAAAATATTGATATTTTACAAGAATGAAGAAATCTGGCTCATTAACTGCATCATTTTTTGGAAACAGTAATATGTTGGCCACATTAAACTTTGCCATAGTTTTTAGAAAGAACAGTAGTGGAAGGCATGATTCCTTGAAGCAGAGGCAGGGGTCAGCTGGAATTAAGGTAAATACAGGACGCTAGAGACACCTCGGGCATGAAATCATGAGGTATGGGAATTTGCAAAGAAGCCGAAAGTCTTTACAGCAGGTCGTGATTGGGGTGATGTTATCAAAGGGCAGGCTGCCTGATGATGGTGAGTGACTGCAGCTCCATTCATTGCTCTGTTTATTGTTTAGTGTTTACAATTTTTCTTTACGTTGCTACATTTATAGTTGCTAGCTGCATTAAACGCCCTGTTGTCACAATACTCATAAGTTAATTGTGTAATCTCTACAGGATGTTGCAGAACCAACCCCAGCATTCTTTGGCTGTTTATGTAATATTACTAGACAATTTTGTGTTTACTGGTTTGCCATTGCTACTGAACAATGGGCTCTTGATACTGTTGCTGAAATCAATGCAGATCAGTCTACTACTAAATTGCCCATAGCTGAAATTTAACCAGAATCTTGGAATTACAAACCATGTTGACAACGCTTAAGCCACAGATGCGGAATAAACACAAATATGATTATTACCCTTACCCAATTGTCTGTCACACTCATTTAATGTTGTTAAATGTTCCTTCTACAGTATGTGCAGGAAGGGAACGAGATGAAGGTACAACAGATGTTGGAGCGCCCATACAAAACGAGTGAAGAAGTGCATCTGAAGTTGTGTCATCCACTATGTTCTTGTGATAAATGTGATAAACTTCTGTCGGATTTTCGCAGTAATTCCGATCTGGTCACTGCATATACAAGAGACAACCGTGGATACACAGGTAAGGGTTGCACAGGTTATGTTTGGCATGATGACCTCTGTTTATTGAATAAAGATTAGACAGCAATAAAAGTCTAAGGACATCGAAGTCAGAATTTTGAGACATGCACTTTGCCTGTAACAACATATGGGTGGGAGTTGTGGACTAGCTCGCAGTACTTAAGGAAGAAAATAGGGCTATCCAGCTGAAATGCTACAGATCGATTCTCAGAATACCAAGGACTAAGAAGAAAAGAAGGTTCTTTAATAATATCCTACCCCAGCTGACATCACAGGGCAGTCCAACATTTTAGAGGGTGGTAAGACTTGGTTTCCCTGCTTTCTGATGCTTTTAATGACCCCAAAGCATCTAGAACTGGCCCTAGCCCCCAACCCACCTACGTCTTACGAGAGTGCAGCCTAGGTCCCATGACTGTATGCAGCCTATCTACCACACCCTGAAATATTAGACTGTCCCATGACCTGTGGATTTCCCCTGTTTGGGGTAGGATATTAAAAAAGCACTGAACAGAAATACTGAAACCCTAAAAGATCTGAACATCAAGGAAGTTTGGCTAATAAACATCATCTTGTCTTGGAAGCTGAAATATTTTGGCCATATCAAGTGCCATGACTAATTGGAAAAAAATAATATCAAAAGGCAATGATGCCAGGAAAGAGGGGCAGGGGCCAACCAGCATGAACATGGGCACAGGATAGAAATGAACCTATCCTTAGGTAGGAAAGTGCATGAGGCAAGAGACAGAGTTGCTTTCAGGCCAGACCGTGATGAGACCGACGTTCTGCAAAGGACGTTACATGATGTTTACGTTTGTTGAATTACTTTAATACTTTTGAATTTGGCTCACCTGAATCTGGCTCACCTGCTGATCGAAAGGTCATGGGCTCAGGTCCTGGCAGGGCCTGACTTTTTTTTTGTTTTATTTTTAAAAATTACCTTGGCTGACAGGTTAATCCAGCCTTAAACTGGTACTAGGTGCAGTCCTGGGAAGAAAAGGCATTCAGCATGAAGTTGACTACATCACCCACCGAGTACAGATTGGTCATTAAAATGTAGGTCTAGCCTTGTGTGTTGACGTTTGTGGCTTAGGTGTTGCAGAAATCACCCTTTCATAGTGCCGGGGTGATTCGGCAGCAGATCACCTTGCATTGATTTCGACCCTGGTATCAAGAGCAGACCATTCAGGAAGCAACGAGAAACTACTGAAAGTTTTGCCTACAAAAACCACAACAGCCCAAAAATTCTGGGGTTGATTCTGCAACATCCTGTCAAGGACACACAGCTAACTAAGCCCTATATGCCCAGTCCACCTGTAGGCATGGAGAAGGGTCCTTTGTTTTACTTACACATTATCTCTCTGTTCCAGCCTTGCACATCGCAGCTTACTATGGCCAGGCACTGCTGATAGATCTGCTGATACAAAACAATGCTGTTGTGGAGACCACAGACTACCTGGGACTGACACCGCTACACCTGGCATGTCAGCGAGGCTTCCAGAATGTCATGGTTAGTCCTGTTTCTCTTCATCCTCATCATTACCATCCTTTGTGTGCCGTTAGATGTCACATAGGGCTCACATTCGATTCCTCCACTCCACTCTGTTGCATGCAATTTTCTTGACTTTTGACATGGAGTTCAGCCCAGCAATGTTTGCCTCTCGTAATAATGTTATCCTCAATTTTTTTTTCCTTGGATGTCCTCTTTTTCTCAGACCGTTTGTTTCCTATTTCACTGCCTGTTTTGTAATTCTTTACCCATTTCGTCTCAGGGTGTGACCAATATATCTCCACCTTCTTTGTCTTATTGTAGTCGATACAGGTATGTGTCCAGACATTTCTCTGATCTCCTCACTCTTTTTTTGAATTCATCCCATTTGATTTTCATGATTTTTTCTCTGACATTTTTAATTGCAGTAAAATTTCGCTTCTTATCTTTGGTTTTCTCCAACTTATGCTAGCTTATGTTGAAGATTCATAGTTTGGCTTAAAGCTGTTTAACTTGGAGCTCCGTATTTTGTTAAAGTGATATGGTGAGCATCAAACCGGCTGCCTTTATTTCTTCCCAGTACTTTACCATGTACCCATTTGAGGCATGGTCGACCTAGGAACCATTTTTGAAAACACATCTTTCTCCATTAGCGCCTGAATCCAAGACCTTTGGGTTTACAGGCAAGCATATAGCCAGCCACCACATCATGATGGCTCCCAGTGGCAGACTACTGTACGTAAAATTGCCTGGTGAAATCATAAACAGCCACACACAAAATGCTGGGTTGGTTCTGCAATGTCCTGTAAAGGATGCGCAGTTAACCTTATCATGTTGACCACATTTTTCTTCTTGAGAACCATTTTCTTACTTTTGCCGCACCATGCATGTGATGCTTAAACCACATTTGTATAGACCATTTGGCACTTGGTGGGTGATGTGATCAACATCCAACAGGTGGACTTTACTTCCCAGAGCTTTCCCAGTACTCATTTTAGGCTGGGTCAAGCTGGGAAGTCAGGTCATTTATAAAAATCCTCTTTGATTATCTCCTTTGCTTCTCTAAATATTTCTTGTAACCCACTTTTAAACTGAGTTGAACCCTACCAGTCCTAAGGCCCTGAACCTAACTGTCCTTATAACCTGAGCTCCTGGGCATTACCACGAAAACACCAACTTGATATACACAAATATTAGTTACATGCAAACGAGTGGCTAGAATATGATGAAACTTGAAGACATTGAAGAAAATAGGCTTACCTTTTATCTAGCGCCAATATTCCACCTTTGTGTGCGAGTTCACTCATCAGGATCAACTTTGTTTCACAAAGTGAACACCAGATGTTGCCGTTTGATGGACACACCCCCTCCTCCTACTATCGATCTATTTCAAGATTGATAATTTTCAAGAGTTTCCTCATCATTTACGCTCTCACTGACAGTGTCATTTCAAGAACTTATTCTTTATGAAATTATCACAGATAATGAATATATATATATTGGACTGTGAAAAGCCTAGAACTTAGTTCATCAGCCGCTCGCTTCATTCTGAGTTTTCCGAATTTTTTCACATTAAAACACACAAAATTGATTCACACACACGGGGAAGCCATTTGCAATCTCTAACAAAGCGGACTGACGACGATTGGTTGGTTATTTTTAGTCAGTGACGTATCTTTTTCACGCACTATGCAAATAGCCTAAATTTAGGGCCAGCGGTATACAGAACAGTTATGAAATTCCCGGAAAAACGGGAGAGTGGTCTGGTAGGGTTAATCTTAGAGCCCAGGCTGTGTGTGGAAGTTAACATCAAGTACAGTGACTGTTGGTGTAAAATGAAGTTACTTGCTTTTTTTTTTCATTATTTCGTCTTCAGGCTAATCATTCTGTTGTTGTTTTGTTGTTTTTGTTGCATACAGTTGCTACTTCTCCATTTTGGTGCTGATGTAATGGCTACAGACAATGAAGGAAACACTCCCCTACACTTGTGTTGTGCTAATGGACATGATGATGTAAGTCTCTTGTTGTGCACATTGTTGTCATGTGTTGTTGATGCTGTCTCTTGCTGTGCACAATTTTGTCATGTTGTTGATGCTGTCTCTTGTTGTGCACAATGTTGTTGTGTGTTGTTGATGCTGTCTCGTGTTGTGCACAGTGTTGTCATATGTTGTTGATGCTGTCTCTTGTTGTGCACAATGTTGTTGTGTGTTGTTGATGCTGTCTCGTGTTGTGCACAGTGTTGTCATATGTTGTTGATGCTGTCTCTTGCTGTGCACAGTGTTGTTGTGTGTTGTTGATGCTGTCTCTTGTTGTGCACAATGTTGTCATGTGTTGTTGTTGCTGTCTCTTGTTGTGCACAATGTTGTTGTGTGTTGTTGATGCTGTCTCTTGTGCACAATGTTGTCATATGTTGTTGATGCTGTCTCTTGTTGTGCATAATGTTGTCAAATGTTGTTGATGCTGTCTCTTGTTGTTCACAATGTTGTTGTATGTTGTTAATGCTGTCTCTTGTGCACAATATTGTTGTATGTTGTTGATGCTGTCTCTTGTTGTGCACAGTGTTGTCATGTGTTGCCGGCGCTTTGTTTTATGTCACCTTGTCAGTGAATGTGTCAGAAATAGGGAAGCCACCACTCTTGGGCTGGTACGAAGAATGAAGGAAATAAATAAACATAAAATGGAATTGTGAAGCTTAGCAAAAGGAAAGACACCCAGATAACAAACTAACAAATCAGTCTTTATCAGATAACAAAACAACAAGGATACGATTCTAAAGAATTTAAATAGAAAAATCCCACAGAGAAAAAAAGTAATCCAAGTTACCCAAATTTGAGTTTAGGAATTGTGGCATTTCATTTATTTTTTAGACTGAAATTATTGTTTCTTTTATGTGGATTACTTCATTTCTCTATGAGATTGCAGCATTTTCATCAGACATAGTTGAAATATTTAGTAATGTTTACATTAATTTTATCAGCTGCAGATGTCATTAGATCACTTTTCAAAGCCATGTTAAAAACAAAACAAATGAAATTCTTAGTGCATATCAGTAGAAGAGGTGGCATAGAGAAATCATGTGCGAAAATACTGGCCAAGACGGGTAAAGAAATATGGATTTGAAAAATATCACCCTTTTTGCCTGGGAATTTTTTGTTTAGAAAACACTAAGATCCCAGGAATTCCTTTAAAAAAATCCTTAATAAACGAAAGTCACTAATAGATGTTTTAAAATTTGATGTTACATTTTACAGATGTTTTTGAAATAGCTAAAGGGGAGTAATCAGTAAATACAAACAAAGCAAAGAATTCAATGGATTTCACTCCCTTTGGCCTGTAAACTATAAAATGGCTCACACATGATTTCATTATTTTTTCAAAGCAACTTATGACATCATAGTGGCCTATAAAGATTTTTTTTTTTTTTCGAACAATTAAAATCCCCCTCAAGAACCTCCTTTGTGCAGGCACAAACAGAAGCAATGCCATCGATTAGGCTGGGACAGGTCACTGATGCTGCGCCAGTTCTGTGGTATTTATTGGGATTTGTGACAGGTGGTGATGCCAGATTAGTGGCATTATGACATAAAAATGAAAAAAAAAAAATGGTTAAAAATTGGTTATTCTGTGCTGTGGGTCTTGGTAATTCTGTACTTCTGTCTTGTTTATTCTCAGAGTTCTGATATTGATGCTGTAATGCCAAAGTGTCCACTATCTTCTCTCTGGATCACCCTCTGCCTCTCTTCCTCTCCAGCTTTCCCTTTCTGGGCTGCATGGTCTTCGAGGCATGGTGTCCGCCTCGAGTGCTAGAGGTTTCGAGTTCAATCCCCAGTAAGGGCTGGGATATTTTTCACGTGGACTTGAGACTTCTAGTAATTCCCTCTGGGTAGTGAGATTGGATGCCCGTGTGCATTGTTGAGCACGTAAAAAATCCCCTTGGCAGTTGAACATTGAAAAGAGTAGCCTATCCGCGCTGCCCGGCAAAATGTGGAGTTAAAAATCTACCCAAGTATTTCAGGATCCTCGCCGGTGCTACAGAGCCTGTGCACTGTGCTGAGATTCTTCAGACTCAGACTTGAGTTAGAAGAAGAACAGAGTACTTATGGGTTACTCCCCCTCCCACTTCCGTGTACCATGATATTGATCCGTTGGTCAAACCTCAAACCTTTGTCATTATTACACTCTGTGCAATAGTCCTGTCCATGTATGGTGACTAATAATGCCAGATTGGTGTTGATTGGCCATCTTACTTGTGTGTAACAATGTTATGCTTACTTATCTACATTGATGCTGGTATTTTATGAATCAAGTTGTTTTTGTTTATCCATAGAGTATCTTGCTATTTTAAGAGTGAAGGTTGTTTTGGTTATTCATAACCTTTATGTTTGTTTATCCACGTGATTTTTTTAATGAATCAAAGTTGTATTTGTTTATCTGCAGTGTGTGAAGGCCTTGGTGTTTTATGAAGCCAGCATGAAACGGCTGCAGATTAACGTGGCTAATGAATTTGGGGACACAGCTTTACATTTGGCGGCAAAATGGGGATATGGTAATTTTAATAGCAGCTGCTTAATTTCTTGCCTCAATCATTTGATCTAGTTAGGAATTGAAATAGACATGCATAGTTGATAATAATCATTTTTATATGAACAGTGTCGTATTGATGATAAATTATTGTAACTTCACTAAATAATGTAACTATATATGGCAAATTTATAACAACATCTATTTTGTAATATACACACACAGGCATACATACACATACTTTTTCTTCTTCTTCTTCTTTACATCCCCTTTTACCACTTCTGGTGATGCGGGGGATATAAGGTCCTGCTTTGTTTCTTTCCGGCTGCTTCGACCATAGACATCCTGGTGCTGTAGAGTTTCTGTGATGTTATCTTCTCATCTTGTTCTTGGTCTACCTCTTGCTCTGCATCCCTCTCCTCTTTTGGTATATACCTTGTATGGTATAGCTGAAGGGCTGGAGAATTGGCTACAGAATGAGAGACTTTCAGGTGTGCTGTAAAGAGAGGAACATTCTGATTGACTGAGTATATAAATGTAAATAGATGTCAGTAGATCAAGTCAGTAAAGGTCTCATTTCTATTGCTAGGTTTTGAATTCTGTTCTTCACAGAGTAATATGTACGAAATTTAACTATGTCACTCCAGGAAGACTAAATCAAATCACTTCCGGTTGTGACACATTTCCATAAAAGCTGATAAATCAGCCTCTCTGCAGCTGTTCTCCAAAAAGCATATTTATTTTCCATTGGTTCTATTTGCGCTTGTGCGGTGTTTAATAGGTCAGAATATAAATACAGAAACTAAAAATAGCAATGAATTAAAAAAAGGGGTGGGGGGTGGTGTCCTTGTGACCCTAATGTTGAAGTCAAATTTTCCTGTAAACTCCAGTGTCAAAGGTCATGGGGTCACAGCATGTCACGTCATACAGTTTAAAAAAAATATTTTGTATGCCAGGAGAAGGTGTTCAATTTAATGCTGCACTCTTTTCATGTCTGTTGATTTCATATCTTTATATATTTTGAAAAAAAAAAAAAAATAGACATGTAAACAAATGTTTTGAAAATTTATTAGTGATTTGTTTAACAATTTTAAAGGGAATGAAGAATCTTGAATTCTAATGTTATTTCAGATCTAACATACGCCACCTACAGTTGGAGAACCATCAAAGATGTACAACAAAAGTTAAATTCATTTGAAAATAAATGTCTGGGAAAAATTGTGAACATGAAATGGGATGAATTCGGAAAGAGTGAGGAGATCAGAGAAATGTCTGGACAAATACCTGTATTGACTGCATTGAGACAAAGAAGGTGGAGATATATCGGGCACACTCTGAGACGAAATGAGCAAAGAATTACAAAACAGGCACTGAAATGAGAAACAAATGGTCAGAGAGAGAGAGAGAGAGAGAGAGAGAGAGAGAGAGAGAGAGAGAGAGAGAGAGAGGATGTCAAAGAGGAATGTTAAGAAACATTATTATGAATGAGGGGCAAAAAATTCTGAACTGTCAAAAATTGAGAAAGTTGCATGCAATAGAGTGGAGTTGAGGAACTGAATATGAGCCCTTTGTGATGCCTAACGGCAGGCAGAGGATAATGATGAATGAATGAAGGAGGAATTCTTAGGGGTTCATGGCCCTTTTTGTTTCTAAGCATTCACAGGACAAAAGAGTTAATAGTATCAAAGTTGCATTACTAGTAGATTTATAATAGGAATAATGCACAATTAGTAACGTTTGAACATTGTAATATATGGTTGTGCTTATCAATTAAGGTGCCTTGTAGCTCAGGTAGAAGGAGCGACTGGCCGAACGGTTGGAGCGCTGGGCTCTCATACGGTAGATCTAGGTTCGAATCCTCAATAAGGTTGGAGATTTTTTTCTGTTGGGGGGAAAAAATAAAATTTTCGCCAGCACAGTCCAGGGCGACAGCACTGGCCAGGCGGCCGTAAATCCTCGGGCTTAAAGTGGTAAAATAAAGGCAGTAATTGGCAGTTTTTTTTAGCTTGGGTATTTGTGATACCCAGCCTATAGTACTGGCTGCAGGCAATTTGACAGTATTCCACTTTGTATTGATTTCGACAGTGGTATGGAACGCTGACCATTCAGGAAGCAATGGCCGACTGCTGACCATAAAATTACCTTGTAAAACCAGACAGCCAAAAAATACTGGTGTTGTTCTAACTTTGAAATGTGGTAAAAATGTTTTAAACCAATGAAATCTATTACAAATATTTATTAGTTTAGATCATGACTTCATATAACAGAAGTAGTTGCAGCTTGTGAATGTATATCATTTTTGTGTGTCCAGAAACCATTGTGAAAACTTTACTGGAAAATGGGGCAGATGCTACAGTTTGCAACAGGAAGAAGCAGACGCCAGTATCTCTGGCACAGAATGTCAAAGTTCAACGCTGTTTGCAGTTAGCAGCTGAGGATCCAGATTTTTTGTTAACAAAATCTCAGGTAAATCAGAGTGAAATTTCTGCCTAGCACAAAGTTAATATTACCTCATAAAAATCTTTTTTTTTTTGGAAGGCTTATGCTGTGTTTGTTTTAAATTTTGTTTAAAAGATATGCATTATTATAACTCTCTGAAACTCTACTTTAAGAAACTAGAGAAACAGAAGGCGAAGTAGAAAAATTTTGAATCTTTGTCAGTTTTTATAAAAGTTCAGGGAGTTGAAACTTGTGACCACCAAGCAGACAGGCAAGTTTGCTAGCTATTGTGTCATTGTGGTCCCAAATAATGAATTATTTTTACAGAAAGATGATTTTTATTTTGTTTGAAGGGAAGTAATCACTAGATACAAACACAGCAAAGGAATAACTGCTTTCCTTCTCTCCGAACAAAAAAATGGATTTTGTTAAAACAGCCACAGAGAGCAAAGAGATGTGAGCAAAGAGATGTAACTGTAAGTTTATTTTTAAGTCACAATGACAATTTGGTCACCCTAAATAATAATTGCAAAATTGTTTGTGTGTATATATAATCATACCCACTATGTCTACCACTGTGCAGCTGCAACCAGTACCGAAATTTATATATATATGTATCGGCCACTGCCCAAAGACTTTATTTAAACCCATAAGTAAGAAAACTGGCTTTCTATGGGCGACAGGTTCAGCTGTTTTGGAACCAAGCAGCTCATCTTGTGTTTGTTGGTTCCTTTTTATAGGATGTCATTTTCTTACCTGCATATGTTCCATCCAGTTATTATATGAATCTACTCTTCCTGAGTTGTCACTTTAACATACACACACCTATATATATACAAACACCTATATATATACACACACCTATGCATACAAACACCCATACATACACACTTCTGTACATACACACACCATTGAACATAAAAACCCATACATACACACACCTATGCAATCATACACCTATACATACTCATGACACAGGCACATACAAACCAAACATTAAAAAAAAACATACATGCACGCACACACACACACACACCCAGTGCTTGCACGCACACACTTATACGTGGACCAGTAGCCACACATATGTCACATACACCCAGTGTGGGTTCCAGCGCCCCCTTATAGGGAGAAAAAAAAATAGACACACTGCCTCCCCAACTAGCCTGTTGTAAAAGTCGACTAATTGGGGACTTTATTCAAAGTCGGAGTGCATCTGCCTGCGTGGCAAGGAACAACCAACTGCATATAAGCCAGTATAACGTATGTACATGCAAAACACCGACCCTGACACATAGCTCAAGTCAAAGTGGACGAACAACCAGGACTTTCAACGAAGCTTACAGGGGGTGAACAAAGAAGAAGAAGAATGCCGCATACATTCTAGGCTAAAGTGTAATGAGATGGGGTACTAAGCTTCAGTCCTCACCACTTTTTTCTGAGACAATTTCCAGAAAGTTCATTGAATTATTCAAAACCAATTTTATGAGGCTGGGTCAACTACAGGGCTGTAATAGGAGATCTAAACCTGAATTTATGTTTTGTTAAGCCACCACACCAACCACTTTGTCACTCTGCATGAATTCAAATGTCGTGGAAATTATTTCTTCGGCAGTTTTTGACTTCAGCTAGCAACTCAAGATCAAGGGCATCATCAACTGCCTCAGTGAGCAATCACAGCTCTGCTTACACAGGTCATCGTAGTGGAAGGTTAGATTTATATGAACCAGAATCGGCCTCCAGTCATGTTGTCACTGCATCACTGGAGGTTGTCAGTGAAAGTGAGATGAAGAGGAAGAGGGAGAAACTGTTTAAAGCTGTCATAGAAGGAGATATTCAGTTGGTGAGTATAACAGCTTTGTCTTTTGCTGGCCATTTTAAGAATCTCTTCTTGACTTTTGTCCAGATTCGTTCGTCCGGTGCTGTCTCCATAATAAAGGTTGACAGCAATGGATCTTCAACACTCCCTGTCCCTCTCGGTGGCTATATACTCTTTTAGACTGCTGCTTGTCCATCTTTTGATGCTATGCAATATGTTTTGCTGTTTACGTCTTCCTCGCTTACCTTCAGATTGTCTCCTCAGTGTTATTTTTAATAGGAGTACAATGTCTTTTAAAATGATGGAAATATTTTGCTTGTCTGTGTTTTATTTTTATTCCATGTGTGGGTTCCGGGGCCTACACGTTGGGGGAATCAAAAAAAGAAGAGACCCCTTCTTACAAGCATGTAATACACGGGGGACTAAGTAGGGCAGTTATCTTCAAAGTCGGAGTGCATCTGCCTGAGAGGCAAGGAACCAACAGTCTGCATAAAAATAAATTAGATCTCTAAAACGGATGTGCACACAAAACATAAAATAAATTAGATCTCTAAAACGGATGTTCACACAGAATAAGTTCATGAACAAACCAAAGTCCAGAGATGGGCAAAAAGCCCTAACTTTCCTTCATGAACAAACCAGATATAGACGAACAGCCATACTTTCTGCTGGAGTTTACAGCTTGTGTATGGTAAGAAGAAGAAGTTTTTATTTCTTTCAGCAACTATCTTTCATTCCGAGTCTCTTCAGAATCCATTTGTCCTTCACTTCAGTCAGATGATATTTGTTCAAATAATCTCTTATAGATGCTATTTAGTAGTTTCAGATAGTTTTAATTGTAAATGGTTGTCCATATTTAGACTATATTGACTTGCCGTAGGTCTCTGTGATGAAGGGGTCGAGCGGTTTGCCTCACACTCTGAGGGTCATGTGTTTACTTTCAGACTGCATCAGTCATTTCAATATCACAGAGGTTGTCATTGGAAATATGAAGTTTGTGCTTTATGTGACACTCTTGGCCAGTCAGGTGTCAGAGAAATTTGGAGCTAGACTTATATTTTAAGTGGCCAAGTTTACTTATCTAGAGAATTATCTGATAATCAATATATGATATCGTTGTACTTAGCAGTTGTGCTGGTTGTATCCACTAGCTGTGTTGCTTGTATCTCGTAGCTGTGCTGGTTGTACCAAATACCTGTGCTGGTTGCACCCTATAGTTGTGCTGGTTGTATCCAATAGCTGTGCTGATTGTATCTAGTAACTGTGCTGGTTGTACCCAGTAGCTGTGCTGGTTGTACCCAGTAGCTGTGCTGGTTGTACCCAGTAACTCTGCTGGTTGTACCCACAAGCTGTGCTGGTTGTACCCAGTAGCTGTGCTGGTTGTACCCAGTAACTGTGCTGGTTGTACCCAGTAGCTGTGCTGGTTGTACCCAGTAGCTGTGCCGGTTGTACCCAATAGCTGTGCTGGTTGTACCCAGTAACTCTGCTGGTTGTACCCAGTAGCTGGGCCAGTTGTACCCACAAGCTGTGCTGGTTGTACCCAGTAGCTGTGCTGGTTGTACCCAGTAACTGTGCTGGTTGTACCCAGTAGCTTTGTTGGTTGTACCCAGTAGCTGTGCTGGTTGTACCCAGTAGCTGTGCCGGTTGTACCCAATAGCTGTGCTGGTTGTACCCAGTAACTCTGCTGGTTGTACCCAGTAGCTGTGCCAGTTGTACCCACAAGCTGTGCTGGTTGTACCTAGTAGCTGTGCTGGTTGTATCCATTCTTTTGTCTTTATGTGCTGATGAAAGATTTCTAGTTCTTGTGTTCTTCTTAGCCTCACCAGTTTTATTTACTGTGTTTTATCAGTTCAGTTTAAAAGATTCACAGAATGGTTTTCTTCTAGAGTTTTTCTGTGTTTGTTTCCATTTGTTTAGGTTAAGTTTTACTTGGGAATTCAGCTGGAAGTTGATGATGGAAAAGATGACGACATAGACACACCACCATCCTCCGTGGCACTGGGTGACATGTGTCATCCTCTATGCCAGTGTCAGAAATGTTTATACATTCAGAGGGTGAGTGACTTCTGTCAGTTTTGATTGAAGAAGATGTCTCAAATGTTTCCATACTTATGAATAATGACATTGTTTTTAATGATAAACCATGCTTTTTAAAATATTATATGCTCTTCATGACTTTCATTGTTTTAAAGTCATTGTTCAGTTAAAGATCATTTTTATCGCTCATCAGACATGGCCATAAGTGCTCCGATCTCCTCCTGTGTATGGCTGTAAATGATTTTAGGCTAACAGCTCCCATTCTGTTCTAGTTGATGTAGCAACGGATGGCTCCAGCATGGTTTTCTTGTCTCGCTGTTCCAGTTGATACACCCAGGGTTGTTGCATTGCCTGAATTTGTATGATTAAAAATGGTATAACTGCTGTTTATATCTTCTTCTTCTTCTTCGCGTTCACCAGCTGTACACTCTGGCGGAAAGTTATGGTTGCTCGTCCAATACTGAACTGCAGTCCTGCTCCAGAACCTAAGTGTTGCATGTGCATCAGTTTTACAGATCTCATTCTCTTGGACACAGACTGTTGGTTCCTTGCCTCTCCGGCAGATGCACTCCGACTTCAAAGGAAGCTCCCCAATTAGTCGACTCTTACGACATGTTTTTGGGGAGAGCAGTGGGTCTATTCTTGTTTTCCCCACAATGGGGCCCCGGAACCCACACGGGGGGACTGTTTATATGATAACCAAGCCTCCATGGCAGACACAGAGGAAGATCTACTGACACCTAAACAATCTATAGCAGCAGAAGCACATAACATGGAAATTAACCAGAGAAAGAACATAGTTATGACCATCGTAAGAACAGAACAACCACTTCATATATAACATAGAAAACCAATAACTGAAACACGTGGCATCCTGGTGCAGACAAACACACTGCTGCCATAATGACAGTTTAAAGATGGCCGCCTCACTTTTGACATGCACCAAAGAGGAGCATGATTCTGTTATTTGATCAGAGAAGGAATAAAACCTATAGAAATTCATAGGCGAATGAAGGTCCGGTAGGGTATTACATGTCTGTCAGTTCAACAATTGTATAAATGAAGTAGGAAGTTTCAAAATGGCGTGACTTCTTTGACAGACTGTTCACTACACTGTGTGGTTGACCCAGTATGTGCTCACTGATATGCATTCTCATTAACACATGTGCTGGTTTAAATACTTTGCATGTTCAATGAGATAACCCTTCTCCCTGTTCAGGTTCCGGGGCCTCATTGTGGGGAAAACAAGAATAGACCAAGTGCCTCCCCAACAAGCATGTTGTAAGAGTCCACTAATTGGGAGCTTCCTTCCTGGAGCGCATCTGCCTGAGAAGCAAGGAACCAACAGTCTGCATGCAGATAAGCTAGATCTGTAAAAGGATAACACACACAACACTCAGGTTTTTGAACAAGACTAAAGTCCTGAGGAGTACTGAAAGCCAGAACTTTCTGCACGAGTTTACAGCTGGTGTATTGGACTTGAGTGGGATTTAATTCGCGTAACTAACGACTTGCGACTTGACTTGGAGTGTTGTCCAGTGACTTGTGACTTAACAGGGCGCTTGTAGCTTGACGGCTTGGTGCGACTCATTCTTTGCAGTCTGCCACTGTCAGGTTTGGGAAACCAACGTCATAATTTAAAATGTCTTCATATAAAATGGGACAAAATAAATTGTTTCAGTTTATCAGTATGCAGTTATGTGCATTTCAGGTCAGCTATTAAAGTATATAAAATCAAAAGCTAACAATTCTTGTCTGTTGTTTTAGTGTTTTGTTACAGATAAGTAGTTTAAACCATAAGCATTTTCCCCATGCATGACTTTCAAATGACTTGATACATGAAATCACTTGACTTGGAAGCATTCTTGGTGACTTGAGACTTCACTTGGGACTTGGCGGCAGTGACTTGGGACGCGAGTTGGACTTGAAGGGTCATGGCTTAGCCCAGCCCCAGAAAAATGTTCATTGAGGTGAATAGTCATTGAGGTATACATTCATTGAGGTATCCTGTCTGTTTATTGAAATAATCTTTTCATTTCAGGCCTCCAGGAAGTGGGGAGATATCATGAGCGTCAACTCTAAGACATCCACCGGGTACTGCCCCATCCACATGGCAGTGCTTCACCACCACAAGGATGTTGTGGCACTCCTCATTGCCCATGGTGCAGACGTCAGTGCCCAGAACCACAAAAGTCTAACTCCACTTCATTTAGCAGTTTGCACACGCAACACTTTGGTGAGAAGTTTGGTGCTTAGTCTTATCACAAGCTGCTCATGTTTCTTGAAATTATTATTCTTTTTTTCTAGCTCTCACCAGCTGTAAACTTCAACAGAAAGATAAGAGACTGAGTGGTCTAAGGGCATGGCGTTCGCCTCAAATGCTGGATGTCCCAGGTTCAAGCTTTGGTGAAGGCTGGGATTTTTTTTACTTGGACTTCTTGTTATTTCCCCTGGTCTCTGGGTAGTAAGATCAGACGCCCGTGTGTATTGTTGCACACGCAAAAAAAAAAAATTCTTAGCAGTTTGAAATTTAAAAAGAGTAGTCTAACGGTTAAAATTTTACCCAAAGTATTTCAGGATTCTTGCCGGTGCTACAGAGTTCGTGCACTGCGCTGAGATTCTCCGGACTCAGATTTGACTTGGAAGTAGATTAGAGCACTTATGAATTACACCCTTGTGCCATGATGTTGATCCTTTGTTTAAACAAAACCTGATCAAACAGAAAGTTTTGGCTTCTCATCCTCTTCTTGTAATTTTATCTTTTTTTTTTCCCACAACTTGAGGTTTGCGTGCACACCTTTTTTACAGATCTTTCTCAGGCACATGCAGTCTGACTTTGAAGGAAACACTCCTAATAAGTAGCCTTGTACGACTTGATTTGAGCTTATTATTATTTGTGTTTTTGTTTGCCCGCTCCAGAAATCTGATACAAGTTCTGATTTCAGAGATAGTTTGGTATTGAAATGGTAGGGTTATGCTTATGTGTCTATAAACTATGTAGGATATATCTGTAAGGTTTTTTCCTGTGTTTATAATTCTGTGTGTTTAGTGCCGAACTACAGAAGAATGATGGAAAACTTTGGATAAGTGATGCTACATGCCAGTGTATTCAGTAAAGACAGACACTAAAGCTTGCTACATGCAATGCTAAAACAACAGCACACAAAAATCTTGCTATAGAAGATTACAGCAAGAAAGCTAAACAAATAAAATGTTATGCAAAGTAAGATTAGAATAGAAAGCACATGTTGATAGTGACGCGTGCAAAATGCTCGCTTGCTACACCGCACACTTGCCAAGTATCCAGGTATGCTTAACAGTGTTACAGATCAAAGTCACCACTCCCGCCCAACAGCAATAAAGGACTCTGGATACATGTTGAACGTCAAAATATAATTTATGTATTTCAAAACCAAGACAATGAATCCACATGAATTTCTATACTGCCACAGTCATTCCTACTGGCAAGGCAACACACACTCCGGACGCTCTGGGCTACTTCTACTGCCACCCTGTTCTGTGGTCAACAACGAGCAAACATTACCTGCTCGTGCAAACCCACTGCTCGTGAGTACGTGTCTGTCTCCATGACACCCATCCCTTGGGTACACTGTCACTAGAAAGATCATACAGGCCGATGCACAATACCTTGTGAAGACTATCCAGACCTTCCGTCTGCGGCCTGACACGTACTTGAGATCTCTCATCTCACCACACGAGCTTCTGTCACGCTGGCCCGGCCTCTGCGGCATCTCTCGCCGATAGCCTGGACGCCTAACGCCAGCGTAACATGCGGGTGTGCAGGACTAGTCTGGCAACACCCAGACTAGAACCTACATCACTGCATCCTTCCTCTCCGGGGACTTGGAGCCAACGTTTTTCCTCTCTCTTCACATTGCGTTCAATGTGTCCTGCACCGCATCAAGTGTTTACGTTCAATAATGAACTTCCCTTTCATATACCCATATATTGCACACAACAGATAGACTAACTAAAGAAGAACAGGCAGCTCAGACTGGAAATAGCAGAATACTATTGGTTAATTAGTCTTTCCTCTTGAGCCTAGGGTGGCGCATACGGCAAAGGTCATAGCTCTTCATGTCTGGCTGTTCGTAGCCACCTGCTTTAGGTCTTTAATGTTCCTTTGGCCCATGTTTGAGCCTTACCTGATGATGGTTAGACGCAGGGTCTTTCTTATACTATATAATAAACTAAAACAGTTAACTGGTACCTTTAAAACATGTGATGGTCTTATTAAAAGCAGGGATGATATGCTTGCTTCTGATGCTGAGCAAAAGGACAAATGGTCAGAACACTTTCAAGAGGCTTTAAAAGTCCTAGACAATCAGTTCTGTAGCAAATAATGATGCAACCGGTGATGATGATAGGACTACAGAAATGCACAAAGCAACATATGATGTGACCATAGTTATTACCCTGAGATTTTAATCGAATTTATTGGAAAAACAGAGACTAAATATTTGAAACTTGATCAGCTTTACGAAGGCTTTGATTGCTTAACACAGAACGTCACTGTTAACCTTTTTTTATTCTAATGTTATTTAATTGTTAACATTTGCCAGATGTGTTTGTACCCACTAAAGACATGAAACAAAAATTAAAATTCACTCAGAAGACAAAAACCTAAAGACACTGATGAATATTAAATGGGATTCATTCAAGAAAAGTGAAGAAATGAGGGAAATATCTGGACAGCTACGGGTATCAACAGTTTTGAGGCAAAGAAAATGGCGCTATATTGGGAACATCCTGAAAAGAAGTGAGCAGAGAATAACCAAACAGGCACTGAAACGAGAAACAGGTGGATTGAAGAAACAAGGATGTTCAAGAGAAATCCTAAAATGAACATGATTTAGAGACATTTAATAGCATGACCAGATAACGAACGAACAGACCTTATTTTCAGAGGGTCACAAATTGGACATGGCGGCGTCCGTGGCTAAGGCGTTGCAAGTCCGACTCGTAATCCAACGTACCGCGATCGAAACCCACTGCGGGCTGCGTGGATTTTTATCGTGGTATGGGACGTCGCAGGTCGACCCAGCCTCAAATGGGTACTAGGATGGGCTGTCCTGGGAAAGTAAAGACAGCCGGCGTAATGCTGACCACATTACCCACCGAGTGCTGATGGTCTGTAAAAATATGGGCGCTCTTCCCATATGCCCGATATGCCTAAAGGCGTGAAAGGGATCTTTACTTTACTTTACTTACAAATTGGACATACAGGCCGGTCCTACGTTCGGCCCTTCCAAACACACATCTTTCACACATCAATTGTATTTGATCAATAAAGCATGTTATGTTCATAAACCTAATATGACGGTGATGATACTGCTATGAACATAGCATGCTTCATAGATAAAATTCACTTGTTGGGTGATAAAAAATGTGTGTATGGAAGGGCCAAATGTAAGGTTGGCCTGTGTGTCCAGTTTGTGACCTTTTGAAATTTAAGTGTATTCATTCTTTCTATAAAACTGCAATTTAGCAGTTTCCATAAAATTTGCACTAACATGTAGACTGTTTATAATTTACTCCCTTTCAGAATGGGCTCTTTATATTCTAGATAAAAACTCTTGTTTTCTCACCTAAATTAACAAAGGTAAATGGCAGAAAAGATTAGTGATTTTACTAAATATTGCTTCAAGGGATGCACAGTGAAGCTTATCCCAAACTGTTCTTACCATGATATTGTGAAGAAAAAACCCAGATTTAGCAGCTAGATGCTCACCTTTCTGGCCAGAGGGTCGTGGGTTCAAATTTGCATCGGCCACATCACCCACCTGGTGGCGATTGGTCTACAAAATATAGGTCTGGCACTGTATACTCTGTCCATTGAAGGGTGTGGAAAAAGTCCCTTAACTCTACTTAAACAACAGAATAGAAAAGGTCCCTTAACTCTACTTAAACAACAGAACAGAAAAGGTCCCTTAACCCTACTTAAACAACAGAACAGAAAAGGTCCCTTAACTCTACTTAAACAACAGAACAGAAAAGGTCCCTTAACTCTACTTGAACAACAGAACAGGAAAGGTCCCTTAACTCTACTTAAACAACAGAACAGAAAAGGTCCTTAACTCTACTTAAACAACAGAACCGAAAAGGTCCTTAACTCTACTTAAACAACAGAACAGAAAAGTTCCCTTAACTCTACTTAAACAACAGAATAGAAAAGAATAAACACAACTTTTTTCTCATTCACAGGTAACTGATATGCTGGTGAAGGCAGGAGCTAGACTGAATATGTGTGATGTTAACGGGGACACTCCGTTGTTGATATCTGCTGGTAACGGGTTCATTGATGGCGTCCAAATATTGATCAAGGTTTCTAATTCTTACATTATTTGTGTGTTCATGAATATTTTATTATATACTGGAAATTCTGTTTCATTAGCTTGCAGCATGTTTGAAATGAGAATTGTACAGTATACATAAAGCATTTACATGTTATCTTTGTCACATAGTAAACAGTGTACGATTTCAGAATATAATTCCTTTCAGTTTTGTTGTTATATGTATTTGCACATGTAGTTTTTATATGTTTGCATTTTGTTAATGTATGTGTATTTTTATGTATATTTCTTAGATGTATTTTTAATGTATATTTTTATATGTATTTATGTATTTTTATATGTATTTTATGTGTTTTTTGCATAAATATATGTAAATATGTTTGTGTGTTTACACATATATATGATGTGTATTTGTAAATATAATTTATGTGTTCTTTTGTGTTTATTTTATGTGTATTTTACACATATTTGTACTTGTATTTTATGTGTATTTGTATATGTATTTAAATGTAGTATATGTTTTTTGTGTTTTTGTGTATGTATTTTATCTGTAGTTGTTTATGTATTTAATGAGTAGTTGTATATGTATTTTATCTGTAGTTGTATCTGTGTTTTATGTGTATTTGTATATGTATTTTATCTGTAGTTGTATATGTGTTTTATCTGTAGTTGTATATGTATTTAATTAGTTGTATGTGTATTTTATCTGTAGTTGTATATGTATTTTATCTGTAGTTGTATATGTATTTTATCTGTAGTTGTATATTTGTTTTATGTGTATTTGTATATGTGTTTTATATTTAGTTGTACATGTATTGTATGCAGAGTTGTATATGTATTTTATAAATAGTTATATATGTATTTTATACGTAGTTGTATCTGTGTTTTATGTGTATTTGTATATGTATTTTATCTGTAGTTGTATAGGTATTTTATGTGTATTTGTACGTGCATTTTTGTGTGTGTATTCGTGTATGTATTTTATTAGCAGTAATTTATTATTTGCTAGCAGAAGTGATAACTGTACTCTGGGCAACCATATTTGTGCTGTCAATTTCGACAATGTCTTTTACACAAGCATTTTGTTGCAGTTGAAATCATTAATTACATCCTTTATTTTTATCTCAGTTAGATCAAATATTTTTTCTCAGTCATACTCACTGTTTAATCTCTGTTACATCCACTGTTCTCTCTCAATACACCCAATATTTTATCTTAGATAGACCCAATATTTTACCTCAGGTACACCGGTATTTTGTCTATTATCCCAAATATTGTTTGTTTCGTTTCACAATATTTTTCTTGATTACATCAGTATTTTTGTTTATCTCACTTACACCCAACATTTTATCTCAGTTGCACCAACATTTTGTCGGTTGTGCCCAATATTTTTTTTAAATATAATATTTTATCTAAGTTACATCCAATATTTTATCTCAGTTGCACTCAATATATTTTCTTAAATACATCTGTGTAAATAATTGCACTCACTAATTTTTTTCTTAATTGTACCCATTTTTACATCTCAGCTACACCTAATATTTATCTCAGTTTTGTGCAATGTTTATTTAAATTACACCAGTATTTGTTCAGTGGCACTCAGTATTTTTCGTAGTTTCACTCAGTATTTGTTCTAAGTTATATATATTTTATTTCAGTTATACCCTTTATTTTACCTCATTTACTTCAGTATTTTGTTTCAGATAACCCAATATGACATTACACAGATATTTAAAATGTTAATTCTAGTATGTCAACACTTTTACGTCAAATATTCTTTGCATGTGGGAGTCGCCATGGCATAGCAGCTAGACGCTCATGTTCAGATCGGAAGGTCGTGGATTCGCTCCCTGGCGGAGATGGACTTTTTTCAAAAATGACCTTGACTCCCAGGTCGACACAGCCTTGAGTGGGTACCGCGTTCAGTCTCTGGAAGTAAAGGCGGCAGGCGTGATGCTGACCATGTCACCCATCTTGTGCCGATTGGTCTATAAAAATATAGGTCTGGCCCTATATGCCCTATACGCCTAAAGACGTGGAAAAGGGACCTTTACTTTACCTTAACCCATTCCTTGTTGTGTCATCTGCAGTGTATATTTAATTGGCTGTTATGTGTCTTGTCAGGCGAATGCAGATCTGAATGCGGCCAACCACAAAGGAAACACAGCTCTGCATGAGGCTGTGAAAAGAAACTACACTGCTATCGTCAGTATTTTACTGCATGCTGGTGCTGACCCTCGGATAAAAAACAAACATGGACACCTCCCACAGGATGAATCCAATGTAAGTCTTCTTCTTCCTCTTCTTCTTTTTCTTCTTCTTCTTCTTCTTCTTCTTCTTCTTCTTCTTCTTCTTCTTCTTCTTCTTCTTCTTCTTCTTCTTCTTCTTCTTCTTCTTCTTCTTTTTCTTCTTCTTCTGCTTCTTCTTCTGCTTCTTCTTCTGCTTCTTCTTCTTCTTCTTCTTCTTCTTCTTCTTTTTCTTCTTCTTCTTCTTCTTCTTCTTCTTCTTCTTCTTCTTCTTCTTCTTCTTCTTCTTCCTCCTCTTCTTCTTCTTCTTCTTCTTCTTCTGCTTCTTCTTCTTTCTTCTTCTTCTTTATTCTTCTTCTTCTTCTTCTTCTTCTTCTTCTTCTTCTTCTTCTTCTTCTTCTTCTTCTTCTTCTTCTTCTTCTTCTTCTTCTTCTTCTTCTTCTTTCTTCTTCTTCTTCTTCTTCTTCTTCTTCTTCTTTTTCTCTTCTTCTTCTTTCTTCTTCTTCTTTATTTCTTCTTCTTCTTCTTCTTCTTCTTCTTCTTCTTCTTCTTCTTCTTCCTCCTTTTCTTCTTCTTCTTCCTCCTTTTCTTCTTCTTCATGTCCTCTGACTGTAAACTCTGTAGGAAAGTTCTGATTATTTGTCCACCTCTGGATGAAGAGGCAAAGAGACCAGATTACTAATAAGTTTAGGGCAGAAATATGACACATAAATCAAGGAGACAAACAGTTCCTTAGCAAACTGTGATGCAGCAGGGGATAGGATAGTATTGCAGAAATGCTCAAAGCAGCAGTGATGATGATAGTACTGCAGAGATGCCCAAAGCCACATATGATGTGACCATAGTTATTACCCTGAGACTTTAGGAGAATTTGTACATCTGTTTTACAGATCTAGTTTATGTGTGTGCAGATTTTTATTACCTATGCTTATTGGCACCACATTCCATACAGTGTAGGAGAGGGGAAAGTCAAGAGCACTGGCCTGATCCATATTGATGGTGATTGTATGTGATGGCAAATGTTGACAGCCTACGCTTATCGGCACTACATTCCATACAATGTATAAAAGGGCGAGTCAAGAGCACTGGCCTGATCCATAATTATGGTGATTGTATGAGATGGCAAAAGTTGACACCCTACGCTTATTGGCACTACATTCCATACAATGTATAAAAGGGCAAGTCAAGAGAACTGGCCTGATCCGTATTTATGGTGATCGAATGAGATGGCAAAAGTTGACACCCTACGCTTATTGGCACTGCAAATTTTGATGATGATGGTTCAAAGGCTGATAGAATGTAGGAACTTTGGGGCAGCACAAATTTGTACATGGTGTCAATTGGGATCAGGCTTTTACTTCATATGATGGTTTTAGAAAAAGTTTGTTGGAGAGGGGGGGGGGGGATGGGTGTAGTTTGAAATGTTTCAGTCAGGAAAATTTAGTTTCAATGTTTCAATCAGAAAAATATAATTGGAAAATTTTTCAGTCAGGACAGTGAAGTTTATAATGTTTAGGTTGGGAAAATATAGTTGGAAATGTTTCAGTGTGGGAAGTATCGTTTGAAATATGTCAGTCTGGAAAATGTAGTTGGAAATGGTTCAGTTAGGAAATTATAGTTTGAAATGTTTCAGTCAGGAAAATATAGTTTGAAGTCTTTAAATGGGGAAAATGGAGTTTGAAATTTTTGAGTCTGGAAAATTTAGTTTGAAATTTTTGAGTCTAGAAAATATCATTTGAAATATTTCAGTGTGGAAAATGTAGTTTGAAATGTTTCAATCTGGAAAATGTCATTTGAAATGTGCCCAGTCTCCACAATGAAGTTTCAGCTGGCTGCATTTGAAATGGATTTCCAACATGTTTCAGTCTCTGTCTTTTGATTGGAAAGGTAGTACACTCTCCTCAAGAGGCTGCTGTTCATCCCATCTCTGTCTCTTGTTTTGGTAGTACACCCTCTCAGACTGCTGTTCATCCATCTCTTGATATTGTTCTGCCACTTATATTGCTGTCTACCTCTTGCTCTCTTGCCTTTGACCAATTTTTTTAACTACAGTGTGAATTATAAAAGATTGTTATGTCTTTTAATTAGTTGACATTTTGTAATTTTCTCTATCTTTATTTCTTTCCATGATTCTGTTTTCATTCCCAGTGTCTTCAGAACCTTTGTACTTAATTATGTTTGTTTTCTAACATGTACTTCCTGTAGATTTAGTTGATTTTATTATTCTAAGTTTGGTCTGTTTCATATTGTACGGTTTTTGAATCATGTAAATGTCAAATATGCATATTAATTCTGATATTTTATTTGCTCTGGGCTTATACTGTATTTTGGGATATAAATTTATTTTAAAGACATAAACTTTAATCTGGAGCATGTACTTTGTTCAAAAAGACTGACGGAGATAATCTTTTATGCCCTAAATTTACTTTTGGATTTAAGTAAAGTAAAAGCCGGGCTTTTTTCCCTTCAAGGAAAAAGGTGCAGGCGTTCAGCACAAATTGTCTAAATAAAGGTGCCAGTATTCACCTTAACTCTTTGAGTCCCAGGCGGTTTAGAATCAAAGGCCCAAGGGGTAGTCAAGATAAACGTAAAATCGGCACATCTTGTGTTTACTGGGTTTCTAGGAAGGAACCTATGAGCGTATGATGCGTCCTTTGGGACTCAGAGAGTTTATGTTATACTGGCGCTGAGAAAAATTATGCATTAAAAAAAAGGTGCTAGTACTGTGTATCGTTGTGTACCGCCTGATATCTGTATGTGATATTTTAATTACCTTGACTGCTGCTTTGCCAGGATGCATCATTACAAGGTGTGCTAGTGGCGGCCGCCCGCAGACTGGAAGAAGCTGAAAAGTTGGCTCAGAACAACAACAATACATCCCGTGGGAGTAGCCTGAAAGGTGAGTCTGAAAGGTTGTGGGAGGTTATGTCTCTTAGTGTGCTTTCCCCAGCAAGTTTTTAAATTAATTGAAGGATCCCTGTTCATGCCAAGAAGTGTATTGGGTATGCGTGGGGTAAATGACTGCTGTCCACACTTTCAGGGATCATCCGTTAATCAGCTAGGGTGCAGTTCCAGCATCATGCAGGAGGGTCTCTCATAGTTACTCCTTTCCAGTGCCAGCAGAAACCTCACAGACTGCCTGTTGCTGTTGGGGAAACAAACTTGAAAAAGGCTGCAGCCTCTGCAAAGCCAATTCAATAGCATACACATGCATTATATGCATAAGCAGCTGTCAGAAGTGCCAACACAAACATTCCACAGCTCTTCTTCTTTACCTTCTGTGAATTTAAGTGGATAGTCCTGTTTTTTTATCCAGTTGAACTTTGGCTTTGTATCAGGACCTGAGTTGTGCATGTACATCCGTTTTACTGGCTTATTTGTGTTCAGTTCTTGTTCCTGCCTCCGAGGCAGATGTACTCCGACTTCAAGGGAAAACATTCCACAACTAGAATTGCAGTTTCTCGTCGAGGAAAGTAGCAGTTACAACAAATCAGGGTGCAGGAGCCATATGGTCATATCCATTTGGATCATCGTATTATAAATTATAAATTCTACTTGTTTGGCATGTTGTCTCCAGAACTTCTTGATCTTAAGCATGACTTGCTATCGTATATATTGCTAACTTCTACCGAGCTAAAACTGTCTGGGCATTGCTACAAGATAGGCATTTTCTGCTACCTCTAATTTATCTGACAATTTGAAACTTATGATAACAGACTATCTCGAGACGGGGCACAGCTTTTCAAATACAGGGCAAATCTGAAAAGGAGAACCCACCGGAGACCCAAGAAATGGTTATTCTTATTAGAAACTCATCTTATTCAGATAAAAAATTGGGTGGTCTCCATGGCGAAGTGGTCAAGCCCTTTGCCTCGTGCTCTGAAGGTTGTGGGTTCCTTTCACAGTGAGGCAGATTAGTTTACGAGTGCAGTCTTTATGGAGATCCTTGGGGATCATCGCCAGAGCTATGGAGATCATGCTGTGTGCGACGCTCTCAGCAGGCAGCTACTGTTCTGCAGAGAGAGACTGAGCCATATGGGATAAAGCCTGGTGCAGTGAAGCTGATCCTCTCACTTTTACCATTACCGTTACCTTTGAATAAAAATTCAAGCAAGAAAAATTATGGGGGATAAGCAAGTTGTTCTTCACAACAGAAATTCACTATGTCCGAGATCATCGTAAACCTTCAGCACTGTAATAACAAAACAGCACCATGGTTGTTACATCACTACCTTACTTGCTTGGCTGCCAGATCGACTCTGCCTAAAATGAGTTTGAGGTAATGTCTTGGGAAGAAAAGGCAGCCAGCATGACAGTCACATCGCCTATTTAGTTACGATTGATCTATAAAAATATAGGTCTAGAGCTATATGCTAGAGGAGCCACTGTGGTCTAGTGACTAGACACTTGTATGCGGATCTGAAAGTCATGGGTTCAGGTCCTGATGGACCCAAAGTTTCATTCAGAAATTACCTTGGGTCCCATGGGTTGACCCAGCCTTAAAATGAGTACCAGGTAAAAGTCCTGGGAAGTAAAGGCAGCCGGTATGATCTTAACCACATCACCCACCGAGTGCCGATTGGTCTGTAAAATATAGGTTTAGCCCTATTTGCCCAGTATGCCTTAAGGCATGGAAAGGGGTCCTTTACTTTACTAAATGTTGCTAAATCTGCCAAATGGTTGAAAAGGATCTTTAGCTTATTTTATTAGCAGTTTTTCTTCTAAACTTATCACAGTGAAGCTAACTATAAATTGAACCACCACTACATCTGCTTTATCTGTCATGCTATCTTTATCTTTATCTTTATGCTGCTTTATTATATCTGTCTAGATCAGTCAGCATCTGGGGCTTAGCCAATGCGAATGGGCTTTGTAAGGCCAGGGTGCCGGGTTCAATCCCAGCTGCAGATGAATTGGCAGCAGATCATCTTATGTTGGTTTTGACAGTGGTATCAGGAGCTGACTGTTCGGTGTGCAATGGCAAACTGCTGAATGTAAATTTGTCTGCAAGAACCACACAAATTGAAACAAAACAAAAAGACTATGCACATTATTGCAGGAGATGGCTTAGATTTGTGTAGAATTTATTCTTGTGACACAACAGCCAGGGGCTGTTGGGGTTAGTTCTGCAACATCCTGTAAAGGATACACAACTAACCTTATTCTTGTCATCTTTGCCCGCCAGTAAATGTGTATATACCTTCTATATCTACAGGGGGCACAGATGGACAGGTGAGTATCAAAGAGCTGTTTGCTGCATTTGAGGACAAAGATCTTCAGAAGCTGCAGAATCTGGCATTAGCCATCCGCTCCTTCAATCAAGAGGTTCACCTGAGGAGAACCACAACCAAAGACACAAGTTCTGCATTCCTGGGTGTCCTAACACAACAGTATTTAATACACAAGTTTGACAGAGAAAGTCTTCGTAAAACCAAATCTCTTTGTAAAAGTGAACCTCCTTCTCTACATGCAGTCTTGAAATCGAGAAGTTTTGATACACGTACAGATAGACCATCTTCTGATACATTTTCTACAGACAGATCATCTATGGAGAGAATTTATACAGATACTTTGACTTCAGATATCCTTTCTACAGATAGCATATCACAAGATTTTGATACCAGTCTTCAAGATCTATTGTCTCCAATGGGAGATAAGTCTTTTGACACAGGGTCAAGTTTTGATGACTCCTTAAATCCCCTTCCAGAATCATCATCACTAGATAGAATTGGCTCTAACAGCAGCAGCGAGCCAGCAGAAGATGATATGTCTTCAACAATTGAAGCTTCCAACAATGCAGGTATTCCAGTCACAGGTTTTCCAATCACAGGTGTCTTAACAAATTATACAAATGCCAGAAGCAGTACTTTGTTAACTTCTGAAGCTCAGCAGAAAGATAATAAGTGTTACATCAGCCAGTCTTTGGAATCACCGTCTGCTGTGGAAGAGAGTTTTGTGGCAGAGGTGAAGCACACAATCTGTGATGTGTCTTCTTCTTCTTGTCCATCTGCCAATACCCAGAGTGATGATGTCAACAGTTTGCTGGTTCTTGGGTGCGGCAGTGAAGTTAGCAATTCATTAACTGCTGAAAATGTAACTGAAGTTATAGATACAGTAGATGTTGGAGCCAGCAGTGTAATTATGCATTCACCAGTTTTTGAACATGCCAGAGAGGTCTACAGCTCATTAAAACCCAGCAGTGAAGTTAACAATTCATTAACTGCTGAAAATGGAACTGAAGTTATAGATACAGTAGATGTCGGAGCAAGCAGTGTAATTATGCATTCACCAGCTTTTAAATATGCCAGAGAGGTCTACAGCTCATTAAAACCTAGCAGTGAAGATAAACATTCACTTCATTTGGAATGTGGCAGAGAAGATAAAAATTCACTTGATTTGAGTTATGACAATGAAGAAAAATATTTTCCTAATGTTGAGGATAGTGGCAAAGATAAGAATTTCCAAAATGTTGAGCATATCAGTGAAGATAAGAATTACCATAATGTTGAACGTATCCTTGTAGATAAAAATGTACCTCATTTGGAATGTAACAGTGACAAAAATGTTAAGCATAGCAGTGAAGATAAGAATTCTTGTTATTTAGAATGTGGCAGTGAGGCTAGTAATTTGCTAAATGTTAAGCATGACAATAAAGTTCACTGTGATATTGATGATCAATATTCCCTTGTTGTTAAACATGAAAGGGAAGATACAAATTCATTGAATTTTCAGCATGAAACAAATTGTGCAAATTATCTGCCTGATAAAGTTGAGCAAACTGCCTCACACTGCTACAGTGATAAGCAAAGTGAAGAACTGGTGATAGATACTTCATTACAGATTTCCCAAAGTGAAGAACTGGTGAAAAATACTTCATTACAGACTTCTCAAAGTGAAGAACTGGTTATAGATACTTCATTACAGACTTCCCGAAGTGAAGAACTGGTGAAAGATACTTCATTACAGACTTCCCAAAGTGAAGAGCTGGTAACAGATGAACAGATAGATACCAGATTACAGAATTCCAAAAGTGAAGAGCTGGTTAAAGATTCTTCATTAAAGACTTCCAAAAGTGAAGAGCTGGGAACAGATGAACAGATAGATACCACATTACAGCATTCTAAAACTGAAGAGCTGGTGAAAGATACTTTATTACAGACTTCCCACAGTGAAGAGCTGGTGAAAGATACTCCATTACAGACTTCCCACAGTGAAGAGGTGGTGAAAGATACTTCATTACAGACTTCCCACAGTGAAGAGCTGGTGAAAGATACTTTATTACAGACTTTCCAAAGTGAAGAGCTGGTTATAGATACTTCATCACAAACTTCCCAAAATGAAGAAATGGTTAAAGATACTTTATTACAGACTTCTCAGATTGAAGAGCTGGTGAAAGATACTTCATTACAGACTTCCAAAAGCAAAGAACTGGTGAAAGATACTTTTTTACAGACTTCCCAAATTGAAGAGCTGGTGAAAGATACTTCATTACAGACTTCCAAAAGTGAAGAGCTGGTAACAAATGAGCAGATAGTCAGTACCTCATATTTTCACAACAGTGTAGAGGATTCTGAAAGGGCAAAGTTTGTACAAGATCAGCAGATAATTGGTACCTCATTTTGCCACAGTGGTGTAGAGGATTCGCAAGGGGAAGAGCTGGTACAAGAGGAACAGTTAATCACTTCATTGCACTGCAATGGCAGTGTACAGGATTCCCATGTTGAAAATCTGGTCAGTTCTTTAAATCAGCCGTGTAACGACACTGGGTACTTTGAACAGCCGAAAAATGTTTCTGAAAATGCTGGTGGGAATTATCATCGTGTTACAGCTGAGCATTCTTCTGTTCGAATCCAGGCTAAAGAACTGCTAACCTGTGAACAAGCTGAGACCAGGAAATAGTTGCTTATGTGAAGCCAGGCTTTTTGTTCTGTAACCCTCCCCAATTGTCCTTTTCTTCTGAAAGACCACCATATTATACGTTGGTTGTAATGACCAGAAACATATTTTTCCCTGGAAAGTTTCAAGGAGCCAATAAACATGAGTTGAACAGTAGTTCTCAGGCTGGGTTGTATTATACATGCCCCCCCCCCCCCCTTTTTCCCCCCCCCCCTCATGATAATGCTGAAAAAACCCGAATTAAGGGGAAAAGTCAGGTTTTTATTTTGTAGCAGATTTACTATCAATGAATGGGTTTGTATTTTTAGACATGTGCATGTAACATTTCACAGTTTCACTGTACCAGGGCTGGATTTTTCCATGGTGGGCAATTCAGGAAATTATTTTTCGAATTGCTTTCGGACAGTGATATGAGAGTGGCAACATATAAGAGATAGAAGCCTCACCAGATATAGGGACCTCACCAGATATAGGGACCTCACCAGATATAGGGACCTCACCAGATATAGGGACCTCACCAGATATAGGGACCTCACCAGATATAGGGACCTCACCAGATATAGGGACCTCACCAGATATAGGGACCTCACCAGATATAGGGACCTCACCAGATATAGGGACCTCACCAGATATAGGGACCTCACCAGATATAGGGACCTCACCAGATATAGGGACCTCACCAGATATAGGGACCTCACCAGATAATATTGCCAAAGTCAGCCCGCCCTCATGGGAGGATAGGCACAGTCAATCTTTCAGACAGTGTGTCCACTCCAGGCTGCTACCTAAAGATACCATACCAGCCTGAAATTAAAAGATCTCATTCTGAATGGTACACCATCATACAAGTTCTCACACAATCAGATGAGTTCTTCTGATCACGCTGTTAATCACATCATCAGAGGAGTTCTTGTGATCACGCTGTTAATCACATCATCAGATAAGTTCTTGTGATCCCGCAGTTAATCACATCATCAGATGAGTTCTTGTGATCACGCAGTTAATCACATCATTAGATGAGTTCTTGTGATCACGCTGTTAATCACATCATTAGATGATTCCTTCTGATCACGCTGTTAATCACATCATTAGATGATTCCTTCTGATCACGCAGTTAATCACATCATTAGATGATTTCTTCTGATCCCGCAGTTAATCACATCATCAGATGATTTCTTGTGATCACGCTGTTAATCACATCATTAGATGATTCCTTCTGATCACGCTGTTAATCACATCATTAGATGATTTCTTCTGATCACGCAGTTAATCACATCATTAGATGATTCCTTCTGATCACGCTGTTAATCACATCATTAGATGATTTCTTCTGATCACGCAGTTAATCACATCATTAGATGAGTTCTTGTGATCACGCTGTTAATCACATCATTAGATGATTCCTTCTGATCACGCTGTTAATCACATCATTAGATGATTTCTTCTGATCACGCAGTTAATCACATCATCAGATGAGTTCTTGTGATCACGCAGTTAATCACATCATTAGATGAGTTCTTGTGATCACGCTGTTAATCACATCATTAGATGATTCCTTCTGATCACGCAGTTAATCACATCATTAGATGATTTCTTCTGATCACGCTGTTAATCACATCATTAGATGATTCCTTCTGATCACGCAGTTAATCACATCATTAGATGATTCCTTCTGATCACGCAGTTAATCACATCATTAGATGATTTCTTCTGATCCCGCAGTTAATCACATCATTAGATGATTCCTTCTGATCACGCAGTTAATCACATCATTAGATGATTCCTTCTGATCACGCAGTTAATCACATCATTAGATGATTCCTTCTGATCACGCAGTTAATCACATCATTAGATGATTCCTTCTGATCACGCAGTTAATCACATCATTAGATGATTTCTTCTGATCCCGCAGTTAATCACATCATCAGATGATTTCTTGTGATCACGCTGTTAATCATACCATCGGATGAGTTCTTGTGATCACGCTGTCAGTCACACTATCAGATGAGTTCTTGTGATTAAATTGACTGTTTTTTGGAGTTACTTTTTAGTTCCATACAATTTTTGAGTATTGACTCATTGGGCCCTGTTCCCTTTTTAATATGCTGTATAAGGGACATCCTCAATATGACTGTGTAATAGTGTCTGCAATTTGTTCTTGTTGGATTGGCATCAGAAAAGTGACTCTTTGGGTCAATGGGGGTTGACTTTCAAGTCATATCCTGGAGGGGCAATTGAAAAAATAAATGTAAAATCTCAAATTTTCAAAAGGGAAATGTTAAAAACACCTTTGCTGTGAAAATATGCAGCACAGTTTTTAAAAAAAAAATGTTGGGGGGAGGGGGGAACTCTGTGGTGAAGTCATTTGGTTTACAAGTGCAATTTTTACAAAGACCCTTGGGGATCATTGTGTGAGATTAAGTGTGTGTTCTTTGTGCAATGCTCTTAGCAGGCAGCTAGTCGTTCTGCAGGGACAGGTGAAACCATTTGAGATAAAACCCGGTGCAGCAAAGTCCAGCCTCTTGACTTCAACCTTTTTTAGATTGTGTTTGTCACTGATTATTTTATTGATCACTCTTGCTAATGTGTTTGTCACTGATTATTTGATTGATTGGGCCAGACTTTCTGTTTTATGTGTGCATGTTATTATATTTTGATGGTGAGCACCTGGAGAAACTATTAGCAGTTTGATCTCTCAACTTAGAGACTCCACCAGGTCTTACAACAACAAACTTTTATCTAATCTTCTTCTTCTTTACTCTACCCCTGGAAGGCCTCGTGGTATCAGAGCAGGAAGAGGTCTCTGGAACAGGCCTTTATGTGTGCTTCGTATCAAGTACTTGTGAAACTTTCCACAGGTGACTGGCCAGTCTGTGGAGAGAGACGCAGCCATATTGAATAAGTTTGATAGTTTGAACTTCAAAATATTATAGCCATTTTGGATAAGTTTGATGGTTTAAACTGCAAAATATTATAGCCATTTTGGAAAATTTTGATGGTTTGAACTTCAAAATATTATAGCCGTATTGGAAAAGTTTGATGGTTTGAACTTCAAAATATTATAGCCATTTTGGACAAGTTTGATGGTTTGAACTTCAAAATATTATAGCCAGATTGGATAAGTTTGATGGTTTGAACTTCAAAATATTATAGCAGTATTGGATATGTTTGATGGTTTGAACTTCAAAATATTATATCCATTTTGGATAAGTTTGATGGTTTGAACTTCAAAATATTATAGCAGTATTGGATATGTTTGATGGTTTGAACTTCAAAATATTATAGCAGTATTGGATATGTTTGATGGTTTGAACTTCAAAATATTATAGCAGTATTGGATATGTTTGATGGTTTGAACTTCAAAATATTATAGCCGTATTGGATAAAACCCAGTGCAAGGAAGTCTGTCCTTATAATTTTAAACATTTATATAATACCATCTTTCTGTGACCTCCAGACTTCTCTTTCATCTTTCTTTAGATGTTTTCATCATCGTCATAGTCCTTCTAACACAGCGTGTCGGTAGGTCACCAGTTGCTGTTGACTGTCTAATCAGATCCCTCCACCTTTGACCCTCAGATGCAACTGACTTCATGGTTGCATGCCTGAGGCATGTCCAGTCAGTCAATTTCTGCATCCAAGTCTTTTTTGGTCTGCCTCTTCTGTTCCCCTCTCCTAAACCTGGAGGTATTGTTTTTGAGAGGCTCTTAGATCTTATTAGAAATGTTTTGCTTGCCCATAATTCCCAATGAAACTCAAGGCTGGCATGCATTTATTTATAAATAAACCAAACTTGGCATATGATGCCATGAGTTGAGTTGAGTCCAGAATTGACATCATAGCACTTGGGGCATTCCCATTCATGCTCCATCCTCATCTTCAGCAGCCAGTGCAGAGTTCCAATACTGATGGTACCGGTCATGATACCATGTTTCCCATTGTCCTGAGTGTTATCTTGATAAGTTTTTCCCCCCACATGATAGAATTTAATTCCTAGATTTCACACTGGACTGTTTTATTTTATTTGTTCTTTGTCTGTGTGTGTGTGCGTGCATGCATGAGTGCGCCCATAATCCTGCAATGATGGTTAAATTATGGGAGAGAAATGTACATTATTTTGTATTTTGTTTGTAAATAATAAGTTCATGTTTTACATTGTTGCGGCATGGCTCTTAACCAAACTTTGTCTTAATTTAATTGAGGTCATTAATACAATGATGCTGGTCATAAGTTTTTATGTCAGGAGTCTGGTCTTTAAAATATGTTCTTTAACAATCAAGGTAACAAAGAAATGCACACATTAGGATGGGTGAAGATTCTTTATGTTATTGTTGTGTACACTGTGTGACAGTAGCTATCCAGTAATCTCCTTGTGAGATGTAAGTTTTCGTTATTTAAAGCCCTACTCTGGTTCTTGCCGGTGGCCGCAATATAGCCGGACCATAAATATGGTCTAAAGGCTGAACGCGGTTTCTGGGACCTCTCCACGGGTGATCCTCATCCACATGGTGGCACTTTGTGTCATCGGGTGTTTGTCGCTTGTGTGATGTCCTGCTAGGGTAAAAATCTACTACTGCTACTACTACTACTGTGTGACAGTGGTTTTACTGGTGGCTGTCTTTGTAGTTTTACACCTTGGAAGAAATGTGCATGCTTCATCATCATCATCATCATCATCCTGTGTACTGTTTATGCATCAGAAAGGGCTCACAGGGCTCATTTGTTTTTCGATGGTCTTAGGCGACCCCAGTGAAAGGGTCATTCAGCCCCCAAAGGAGTGGCCATTCCGTTGCCAGTAGCAACTGCTCAGGGCTGAAAGAGTTAAAATATATTTGTTTGATTTCTGTTAGCCCAAATGTCTGAGAGACTGGATTTTGTGGCTGTGGGTTCCCCGTGTGGGTTCCGGGCCCTGTTTTAGGGAAAACAAGAATAGACCCACTGCCTACCCAAAAAGCATGTCGTAAGGGTCGACTAACTGGAAGCTTCCTTCGAAGTCAGAGTGC